CTCAAACGTGCTGCGTAAACACGAGAATGAACTTCATTGGTTCTTGCTGAAGCTCAAACGTGCTGCGTAACACAAGAATGAACTTCATTGGTTCTTGTAGAAGCTCAAACGTGCTGCGTAACACAAGAATGAACTTCATTGGTTCTTGTTGAAGCTCAAACGTGCTGCGTAACACGAGAATGAACCTCATTGGTTATTGTAGAAGCTCAAACGTGAAGCGTAACACGATAATGAACCTCATTGGTTCTTGCTGAAGCTCAAACGTGCTGCGTAACACAAGAATGAACTTCATTGGTTCTTGTAGAAGCTCAAACGTGCTGCGTAACACGATAATGAACCTCATTGGTTCTTGCTGAAGCTCAAACGTGCTGCGTAACACAAGAATGAACTTCATTGGTTCTTGTAGAAGCTCAAACGTGCTGCGTAACACGATAATGAACCTCATTGGTTCTTGTAGAAGCTCAAACGTGCTGCTTAACACAAGAATGAACCTCATTGGTTCTTGTAGAAGCTCAAACGTGCTGCGTAACAAGAGAATGAACCTCATCGGTTCTTGTAGAAGCTCAAACGTGCTGCGTAACACGATAATGAACCTCATCGGTTCTTGTAGAAGCTCAAACGTGCTGCGTAACACGAGAATGAACCTCATTGGTTCTTGTAGAAGCTCAAACGTGCTGCGTAACACAAGAATGAACTTTATTGGTTCTTGCTGAAGCTCAAACGTGCTGCGTAACACGATAATGAACCTCATTGTTTCTTGTAGAAGATCAAACGTGCTGCGTAACACAAGAATGAACTTCATTGGTTCTTACAGAAGCTCAAACGTGCTGCGTAACACAAGAATGAACTTCATTGGTTCTTGCTGAAGCTCAAACGTGCTGCGTAACACAAGAATGAACTTCATTGGTTCTTGTAGAAGATCAAACGTGCTGCGTAACACAAGAATGAACTTCATTGGTTCTTGCTGAAGCTCAAACCTGCTGCGTAACGCAAGAATGAACTTTATTGGTTCTTGCTGAAGCTCAAACGTGCTGCGTAACACGATAATGAACCTCATTGGTTCTTGTAGAAGCTCAAACGTGCTGCGTAACACGAGAATGAACTTCATTGGTTCTTGCTGAAGCTCAAACGTGCTGCGTAACACAAGAATGAACTTCATTGGTTCTTGTAGAAGCTCAAACGTGCTGCGTAACACAAGAATGAACTTCATTGGTTCTTGTTGAAGCTCAAACGTGCTGCGTAACACGAGAATGAACCTCATTGGTTATTGTAGAAGCTCAAACGTGAAGCGTAACACGATAATGAACCTCATTGGTTCTTGCTGAAGCTCAAACGTGCTGCGTAACACAAGAATGAACTTCATTGGTTCTTGTAGAAGCTCAAACGTGCTGCGTAACACGATAATGAACCTCATTGGTTCTTGCTGAAGCTCAAACGTGCTGCGTAACACAAGAATGAACTTCATTGGTTCTTGTAGAAGCTCAAACGTGCTGCGTAACACGATAATGAACCTCATTGGTTCTTGTAGAAGCTCAAACGTGCTGCGTAACACGATAATGAACCTCATTGGTTCTTGTGGAAGATCAAACGTGCTGCGTAACACAAGAATGAACTTCATTGGTTCTTGTAGAAGCTCAAACGTGCTGCGTAACACAAGAATGAACTTCATTGGTTCTTGCTGAAGCTCAAACGTGCTGCGTAACACGATAATGAACCTCATTGGTTCTTGTGGAAGCTCAAACGTGCTGCGTAACACAAGAATGAACTTCATTGGTTCTTGTAGAAGCTCAAACGTGCTGCGTAACACAAGAATGAACTTCATTGGTTCTTGTAGAAGCTCAAACGTGCTGCGTAACACAAGAATGAACTTCATTGGTTCTTGTAGAAGCTCAAACGTGCTGCGTAACCCGATAATGAACCTCATTGGTTCTTGTAGAAGCTCAAACGTGCTGCGTAACACAAGAATGAACTTCATTGGTTCTTGTAGAAGCTCAAACGTGCTGCGTAACACAAGAATGAACTTCATTGGTTCTTGTAGAAGCTCAAACGTGCTGCGTAACACGAGAATGAACCTCATTGGTTCTTGTGGAAGCTCAAACGTGCTGCGTAACACGAGAATGAACCTCATTGGTTCTTGTGGAAGCTCAAACGTGCTGCGTAACACGAGAATGAACCTCATTGGTTCTTGTAGAAGCTCAAACGTGCTGCGTAACACGAGAATGAACCTCATCGGTTCTTGTAGAAGCTCAAACGTGCTGTGTAACACGATATTGAACCTCATCGGTTCTTGTAGAAGCTCAAACGTGCTGCGTAACACGAGAATGAACCTCATTGGTTCTTGTGGAAGCTCAAACGTGCTGCGTAACACGAGAATGAACCTCATTGGTTCTTGTGGAAGCTCAAACGTGCTGCGTAACACGAGAATGAACCTCATTGGTTCTTGTAGAAGCTCAAACGTGCTGCGTAACACGAGAATGAACCTCATCGGTTCTTGTAGAAGCTCAAACGTGCTGCGTAACACGATAATGAACCTCATCGGTTCTTGTAGAAGCTCAAACGTGCTGCGTAACACGAGAATGAACCTCATTGGTTCTTGTAGAAGCTCAAACGTGCTGCGTAACACAAGAATGAACTTTATTGGTTCTTGCTGAAGCTCAAACGTGCTGCGTAACACGATAATGAACCTCATTGGTTCTTGTAGAAGCTCAAACGTGCTGCGTAACACAAGAATGAACTTCATTGGTTCTTACAGAAACTCAAACGTGCTGCGTAACACAAGAATGAACTTCATTGGTTCTTGCTGAAGCTCAAACGTGCTGCGTAACACAAGAATGAACTTCATTGGTTCTTGTAGAAGATCAAACGTGCTGCGTAACACAAGAATGAACTTCATTGGTTCTTGCTGAAGCTCAAACCTGCTGCGTAACGCAAGAATGAACTTTATTGGTTCTTGCTGAAGCTCAAACGTGCTGCGTAACACGATAATGAACCTCATCGGTTCTTGTAGAAGCTCAAACGTGCTGCGTAACACGATAATGAACCTCATCGGTTCTTGTAGAAGCTCAAACGTGCTGCGTAACACGAGAATGAACCTCATTGGTTCTTGTGGAAGCTCAAACGTGCTGCGTAACACGAGAATGAACCTCATTGGTTCTTGTGGAAGCTCAAACGTGCTGCGTAACACGAGAATGAACCTCATTGGTTCTTGTAGAAGCTCAAACGTGCTGCGTAACACGAGAATGAACCTCATTGGTTCTTGTAGAAGCTCAAACGTGCTGCGTAACACAAGAATGAACTTTATTGGTTCTTGCTGAAGCTCAAACGTGCTGCGTAACACGATAATGAACCTCATTGGTTCTTGTAGAAGCTCAAACGTGCTGCGTAACACAAGAATGAACTTCATTGGTTCTTACAGAAGCTCAAACGTGCTGCGTAACACAAGAATGAACTTCATTGGTTCTTGCTGAAGCTCAAACGTGCTGCGTAACACAAGAATGAACTTCATTGGTTCTTGTAGAAGATCAAACGTGCTGCGTAACACAAGAATGAACTTCATTGGTTCTTGCTGAAGCTCAAACCTGCTGCGTAACGCAAGAATGAACTTTATTGGTTCTTGCTGAAGCTCAAACCTGCTGCGTAACGCAAGAATGAACTTCATTGGTTCTTACAGAAGCTCAAACGTGCTGCGTAACACAAGAATGAACTTCATTGGTTCTTGCTGAAGCTCAAACGTGCTGCGTAACACAAGAATGAACTTCATTGGTTCTTGCTGAAGCTCAAACCTGCTGCGTAACACAAGAATGAACTTCATTGGTTCTTGCTGAAGCTCAAACCTGCTGCGTAACGCAAGAATGAACTTCATTGGTTCTTACAGAAGCTCAAACGTGCTGCGTAACACAAGAATGAACTTCATTGGTTCTTGCTGAAGCTCAAACGTGCTGCGTAACACAAGAATGAACTTCATTGGTTCTTGTAGAAGATCAAACGTGCTGCGTAACACAAGAATGAACTTCATTGGTTCTTGCCGACGCTCAAACGTGCTGCGTAACACAAGAATGAACTTCATTGGTTCTTGTAGAAGCTCAAACGTGCTGCGTAACACGAGAATGAACTTCATTGGTTCTTGCTGAAGCTCAAACGTGCTGCGTAACACAAGAATGAACTTCATTGGTTCTTGTAGAAGCTCAAACGTGCTGCGTAACACAAGAATGAACTTCATTGGTTCTTGCTGAAGCTCAAACGTGCTGCGTAACACAAGAATGAACTTCATTGGTTCTTGTAGAAGATCAAACGTGCTGCGTAACACAAGAATGAACTTCATTGGTTCTTGTAGAAGCTCAAACGTGCTGCGTAACACAAGAATGAACTTCATTGGTTCTTACAGAAGCTCAAACGTGCTGCGTAACACAAGAATGAACTTCATTGGTTCTTACAGAAGCTCAAACGTGCTGCGTAACACAAGAATGAACTTCATTGGTTCTTGCTGAAGCTCAAACGTGCTGCGTAACACAAGAATGAACTTCATTGGTTCTTGCTGAAGCTCAAACGTGCTGCGTAACACAAGAATGAACTTCATTGGTTCTTGCTGAAGCTCAAACGTGCTGCGTAACACAAGAATGAACTTCATTGGTTCTTGTAGAAGCTCAAACGTGCTGCGTAACACAAGAATGAACCTCATTGGTTCTTGTAGAAGCTCAAACGTGCTGCGTAAAACACGAGAATGAACCTCATTGGTTCTTGTAGAAGCTCAAACGTGCTGCGTAACACAAGAATGAACTTCATTGGTTCTTTTAGAAGCTCAAACGTGCTGCGTAACACAAGAATGAACTTCATTGGTTCTTACAGAAGCTTAAACGTGCTGCGTCAACAACAGCATAGCTCGTTCTGTGCGTCATTGCACCATTTCTATGTCATTGCTCATGCGCAAAATTGTCCATTAAACCGATTGTAATCAGAATACACTTCTCTATGTAAACGCACATACTGTTTTCATTTTGTAGCTCCGGCCTCCAACTGTTATTGGTCAATTCCACACCCTGTTTTTTGGCTCCGTCCGCATGTTCTTCCTGGGTGTTCTGGGATTTGCCGTTTATGGGAATGAGGCCCTGCACTTCAGCTGTGACCCCGAAAGAAGGGAGCTCAACCTCTTCTGTTACAATCAGTTCAGACCTGTAACACCCCAGGTAAAGTTTATAGGTCATTTTTAAGGTAAAAATGAAAGTCTGAAGATGGAATGTATCTCAAATTTTTTTTCTCACAAGAACTGTATCTCAATTTTGAGTCAAAAGTCCAGTTATAAAAAGGTTGAACAGTGTTCTCAGGACACCAGTATTTTACATAAATTTCAGGTGCAGTTTAACTATTGTAATTGTATTATTCATACTCTCTGTTGGCCCAAACTATTTGTAGGTTACCTTATTATTTTTGTTTTTCATTACTTTTGTTCTGCATAACCATTTTTATTGTTTTATTTTATTTTAAACTAAATGCTAAAAAGCCATTGAGACTGTGACAACATGCCCTGTTATTGGGGCATTTTTTTTATTTTGTACACTTCCAGTCAAAAAAGTCTGTAATAATTAATAGTTCCTGTGATGACAAAGGTGAATTAGTTGTGAAACCAGTTGTGCTTGCTTAATATTTTTGTGTAAATGTGATACACAACCATTTAAATGTTTGGGCTACGTAAAAAAAAAAAAAAAAAAAATTATTTATTATTTATCTTTGTATTTATGTATTCTTGGCAGTCAAGAATTTAAGCTTACAAAATAGAAATATTCATTGGAAAAAATGTGACAACTAGCCCCAATCTATGCATCATAACACTGTAAAAAAATTTTTTGTCATTTTAACTGTAAAATATTGTAAAAACACTACAGGGAAAAAAAACTGTTAATAGGTTAACAGTAAGTTTTATACTGTGAAATGTCCAGTATGTTTGGTAAATATGTTTACATTTTTACTGTATTTTTTACAGAATTATTCTGACAACCACAGCTGCCAGGATTTTTTTTTTTTTTACAGTGCAATTAAGTTATGCTTTTTCTTCTTTTTTTTCAGGTGTTTTGGGCCCTGCAGCTAGTGACGGTTCTTCTTCCAGGGGCCGTGTTTCATCTGTATGCCGCATATAAAAACATAGATCAAGAGGATATTCTGGAACGACCAACATACACGGTGTTCTACATCATTTCTGTACTGTTACGAATCGTCCTGGAGATGGCAGCATTCTGGCTCCAGAGTCGTCTCTTTGGATTCCTGGTTCATTCGCTGTACTTCTGTGACACCAGTTCACTTGAAAAGAAATTAAACTTCACCAAGTGTATGGTACCAGAGCACTTTGAAAAGACCATCTTCCTCAGCGCAATGTACATTTTCACCATTATCACCCTGATTCTGTGTATGGCTGAGATTTTTGAAATCCTCTGCAGAAGGTTGGGCTATTTAACAAATCAATGACAATCGTAAGCTTGAAAATAACAGACAAAAGAATGCAAATGTAAAACAAAATTTTCACATCATCAAACTGCATGATTGCATGGCATCCATCCAGGTGTTTACACTACCTCACTGTGAATAAAAAAACTGTGAGACGCAGAAATAAGTGTTTGTAAATATTTTGCACTATAACAATCTACTCATTTTACGTATTCTCTAACATAATCACTGCGTAATGCTGACTGTTATTTCTTTTAATACTTTTGTCATTAAACTTCATTGTATTATGTATTATTGTAGATGTATGTTTCATTGCAAACATTAAATCTCATTAATCTCTCATGACCACATATGGAGTCTTAAATTCATTAGTAAATTCCCAATTAAATTTTTTACTGAAATTAATGTATAATTTGTAATGGAAAAAATTGTTATCATTAGTTAACATAAGCTAATAATGACCAATACTTATACAGCATTTATTATTCTTAGTTATTGTTGATTTAAACATTTACTAATACATTGTTAAAACCAAAAGTTGTATTTGTACAAAGGGGAATTAATACTGTATTGCTCATTGTTCATGTTGGTGAGTGTTAACAAATGAGACCTTATTGTAAAGAGTTACCAAAGAAAATAATGCAAAAAGAAGCATATGGTAATGTGCTAAAGTACTTTATATGGTAAAGAAGCAAAAACGTATTCTGAAACTTAAATTAGAGATGAAATTACATTTCCTTATTCATCTGATTTGTTTATTATAATTAATACGAATATTGCATTTTGAGGTAAGAACATCGTCAACAATTTTTTTATGATAGAACTTTAATTTTCGGGTTTTTTTCTTCTAAAGGACATCTTGTAATCAGAGAAAAACAAAAACAAACATTTAAATAAAAAGAAATCAGCTGCCTTTATGGGCAAAACAAAAGAAACATTCATAAACTTCTATAAACGATGACCATGTACCAGTCCAAAGATAAATAACAGTTGTAACTTCTAAAATGCCATAAACTGAAACTAGATACCTCAAAATCTTTAATATGTAATACTGTAAACATGACATGAAAGTTCCTTCAGTATAAACTCAGTTTAAATTCACCATCTCAGCATTTTTTAATACTCAGACTATTAATATAAATACCATTAACTGACTGCTACTTCATATGATACCAATGTTTAATATGAGATAGCACTTATCTTTAAAGACATTTAAAATGACTTGGGTTAAAAATTCATACATTCAAACAGTCAGACAAGTTCCCAGACAAACCCATTTATCTGATGACAAGAAAAACCTGAAAAAAGCAACTATCCCTTCAAATATACCATTTCATTTTTGTTTACTTCTACACAAGACACTCTTCAAAAGTAATTACAGTACATGATAGCGATTATGTGTGTGTGTTTGTGTTTGTAAATATGTACGTGTGTGTATAAACATGTAAATATGTGTGCATGTACTGTATGTGCACATATAATTGACTTAACAGTGACTGGAATGTTGTGTCAAGATTAATTCAATGAAAAAAAATCATCTAAAATGATTCAAAAGAGCTCCAATATTGATGACACGGCATTCAGTCTATCAGCTACCTAGAAAGTGCTTCAAATAGTCATCTTAATGCACAATACTTACCACTTTTTATATAATAATATGCAGATCTATATTAAAAATGCCTTGTAATGACATTTCTTTGCTTAAGTGCAGAAAAATCTAAAGTTTAAAGGAAACGAGGTATGATACATTTAGAAAAATACTATACGGTGGAGAAGGTTTAAACAAAAGGGCTTTTTAAAGAATTCATCATCAACACTTTTAGGTTCATAATCTTAAACGCTCATGATGCAGTTAAGTTATAAAGGTGCCAGCAAAAATATACAACAGCATACAAGGCAATGTCATAGCACAGCTTAATGCAATATGCAAACTTTAACATACTGTACGTAATACTGTAAGTGCAATCTCAAAAAGCAACCACAATATCTCATATTAGTTAACCTTTATGACCACCACCATTGTTAAGTGCATAAATAGGGTACATCGAATGACTTTCTCTCTTTGAGGGATATCCAAACATCTTCTTAAAAGGCACAAGCAGAAGTCAATGGAGACGATGTCAGTTAGAATTGCGATCAGTGCTTTGTATTACTTGGGACTTGATGCACTTCCTGTAGGAATTGTTTAAATTGTCCTGTGAGATGCAGATCTGCAATTTAAATAGTTTTCATGAAATACTGATCTAATATTTCTTTTTGCACATATTGTTGTCAATTCGAAGCTTATACACATTCATAGTTAAAATCGGTATGGCAGGTATAGAGAATATGGCATGTGCATTGAAATGAATGAAAACGCGAGATGTTGTGCATATTACTGTATTTGTTTTTGCCCACGTTACCAAAACTCCAAATAATCTTGGTCAGACTCCAAGGCCAAAAGCACACGCTGCACAATTTAGATTTTGTGCATTTTTACCTTCTGAAATGTGTCGGACTGCAATGTATAAAGCTGCAAGGTGGCGCTCTGAGTCATTGTTCTCTTTCAGGTCAACTATTGAGAATTTAGCTGAGCAAGTTAGTTAAAGTTTGTTAAACTTGGCTTGTTTACAGCAGCTACCTGAATAATAACACATCCAGTTAAATGGCACAGACACTTAGAGGTAACTCTATCGCTCCTTCAGTACAGAAGAACCGCCAGTGCAACACAAGAACGCATGTAAGGTATGTTCAACACAACCATTCACTATGTATGAATACTTGCATAAAGTATGTTTCTGGTCTGAGCTTGGATTTAGTTTTTCTTTTGAATGCGATTATACAATGCTTACAAAGTCAGCTTTTAGGTGGTTTATCTGCGGCATCTTCAGATGTGATTCTGAGGGATGCAATAGCTTTTGCACAGATGTAGACGCTCTCCTCCTTTTTATCATCTTTGCTATGAAAGCCAGTGGAAGAGGTTGCTATTTCTCCACTGTAAGCCACTCCAGGATCTAGGACAGGGGCTGAGGTCCGGCCAGAACTAGCCGTTTCTAATATTTTCCCCTGTGGAATTGATGGGAGCGTATTTCTCTCTCCAGCAGCACCAGATATTGACGTGGAGGGCATTCTTATCCCCCCAATAGGGATCATCGGAACAGGTGTTGGGACCTGTCCTTGAGAGTGCAAAGGCAAATGGCTGAAGATGTCTGGCAGCAGGGTTGTGGACAGATCCCTACTGCTGCATAGGCCAACAGGAAAATACAGATTCTGAGGAGTATCCCCTTGATCCTGAAAAAAAAGGGGGTGGGGAGGGGAGAGAACGTTGTTCATGGTGCTGACCAGTTCATTCAGGTCTGTAAGCTATTTTCAGAAAATTAAATACAGGCATCAGACTTGGTGTAGGTTTGGTATGAACATTTGTTTTAAAGTATTTCATACTGTTTTGTCATTTAGTTGCACTGCGCCTGGCCTTCTAGCAATATTTCACCCAAACATTCTTCCATTATTTTGAAGGAACTTCATGCATCTTTCATTCAACACAAAGACAGCTTATTATAGGGACAATGGCTGTCAAAAAGGACCAAAAAAAGGTTATTGGTTTCCCACATATGTGTTTCAGAGAACAACATAACTGCATAAGAGTTAGGAACGACATGAGGGTCAGAAAACAATGACTGAATTAAATCTTTTTTGGGTGTGCCTTTAAGGCTGAAAACTGTAGAAATGCTACATTACAAAAAAAGTTAAGAGGTGTACTCAATGGTTTTTAGACCTCACTAATATTTCTGATAAAAATAATTAGTTAACAGTTATACAAATTATAAGGTACATTTTATTATTATACAAATTACAAAGGTACACTTTTGTCTCCAAAAAAAAGGCAATCTTTCCATCAGTAGAGCATGGCATTAGTAATGCCAAGATCATGGGTTCAATTCCCAGGGAAAGCAAGAACTGTTAAAAATGTGTACCTTGAATGCAATACAAGTCACTTTGGATAAAAGTGTCTGCCAAATGCGTAAATGTAAAAGCCTACCATTCCCACGTCTGAGTGCATTCCGATGATTGGTCTAAGGGCAGAAGTTTGAAATTTCACACTCCTTCCCGGATCCATGAGGCTCCTATGCTGATAAGACCCCCTCCGTGGAGACACGGCCCTGAGCACCCCTTTATGACGACCCAGCGGAGACTGTGCTCGCTGCCCCGATGGGTCCGAACCTGTAGGTCTTACAGGTGACAGCTGCCGGATGGGTGAAAAGTCCCCTCTGATGCTCAGATCTCTCCTTGGAGAAATGGCCCTTAAAGGAGACGAATCACGGCATGACAACAGGTGACGTTGTGGCGAGAGATCTCCTCTTGGAGATATGTACCTCTGGCGAGGTGAATCCCAACAAGGCGACAGCAGCTGAGGTGGGCAAGACTCAAAGGAGCTGCTTGACTGCTCAAAGGTCAGATCATCCTCAATACTCTGAGAGGAAACTTCAAGCTGTTCCTTCAGTAGATTGCGGCTTGGGTCAAAGTGTTTAGGGTTACAACCGGACATACATGGCTTGTTGACTGCATAGGACTGAGGACTTGTGCTTCTGGACAGCGTTTTTGGTGTAGAATCACCATCACATTCGTCATCTTCATCATCGTCTGGTTCATCGTCATCGACACCATCAGAGTCTTCCACATCTGAGAACTGATGTTTAATGGTAGTTTCCAATGGCATTATGCCAGAGGACTTCTGGGTGTCATCTACAGCAAGAGCAAAACATTTAAATTAGCACATTTTTCTGACATTTAGGGGTGTTCATAATTAGTATCATGTTAGAATTAAGGCCCTTATAAGAAAACAGATTTGGATATTTGCTACTGAAAGCTAGCAACTATTCTACAGAAAAATTAAATAAGCTAGGCTGTAAGCTATCCTTTACAAATGCATGAAAAAGTAGTTTTCTACAGAGAAGCTCTAGTATTGTCAACGAGAATCAACTACTTATTAAAAAAAAAAATTCTACGGAAATGTTCCACTTTTATAGCGATGCTAACACCTTGCTACTAACAAATGCAACTAAACTAAAAGCTTTGCTATTAGTGATACTACTGCCCAGCATTACTGAAGTAATGTTCCTACCAGCATCCTCTGTATTGTCCATGGCTGTGGGTGAAATTCCTAGTTCAAGGCATTTTTTCATGTGAGCTTTTGACTTCATATGCTTGGTGAGATTCCCTGAAAAAAAGACAGGGTTATTTTTCTATCCCAAACTTTTGCAGTCATCCTTGAATAAGAACATGGTAAAACCAACCTTTAGTTTTAAAAGCAAAGTTGCAGCATTTGCACATATAGGGTCTCACATCCGTGTGCGTTCGAATGTGTTTCTTGAGCATGCTTGGCTTCTTACAACGAATGCCACACTCTTCACATATATACTTTCCCCGACCACGACCCCTCACATACACATATTCCTCATTGGACTTGTACCTGATAAACAACCAAAAAAAGAGAACACTTTCATTAGGGGGCATTTCTACAGTCACTCATCAAAATTAGCATTGCAGTACATATCCATACCCTCCTTCAAAAATCTTCACACGGACTGGTTCTATTTGCCGTATGGTAGATGCAACATCCTCTCGTAAAGATTTGCACCTCTGGCTTATGTCTCTTATCCTCACGTCCTGTTTTGTATCTTCCTCTCTGTAGTCCGGAGTTACCTGCAATACCACAGAAGACTCTTTGGAACAGATGGCTAAACAAATATCGGATCATCGTAAAGGTAAATATAGCATAGTAGCAAGTGGCAAATCAGCAAAAACCAACAACAGGCAACATACTTGTTCTTGCTTCGGTCTCCAGGGGGTGGAGGTCACAAGTACTCCAGGCTGATGCATGGTAGCGATTGAATAAATAGTATTCTGCCTCCCCTGTTTGGATCGGAGTAGAGCAAGAACCATCCCAGTGCTAAGATCGGGTGGGTTAGGGTTATGGCATCTCACAAACCATGAGGCATACTCAGAGAAATGTGCAACTGTTTGGGTGCTATTTGGCTTAGTGGAGTTGAGATAGCACCAGCTCACACAAGTAGTAGTGTGAAGACCTGGAAACTTAGAGAACAGTAAAGCACCAGTGATTGCAGAGGGCATTGCACCTATTCCAGAACGATAACTAGCCATCATGTGTTCAGGTGTTGGTTTACGCTCCATCATAGCAGCATCTTGAGGAATTATGGCAGGAGACTGTAACTTTGGATTGCTGTAAAAGTCTTGGCTGGCCTCATCCATATCTACTACCTCTGTGGGCTCACACAACTCTGGGGTGCTTCCTGATTTGAAACCTTTCTTGGGACTTTCTTTTTCACCTTCAAGATTTCCTAACTCGACAGCACTAAGCTCTTCAACAATCTGGCCATAAATGTTCTCATCTTTGACTCGTTTTTGCTGTTTCGCTTCAATAAAGAGTTCAATGCTACTTGCAGGTGAGAGCATGCGCTTGTTTGCTCCAACACTGGGGGCCTCTGTAGTAGAGATGGTTTTGGAGGTTAATGATAGAGGTATGCCTGTATTAAGCTTTGCTGGTGATGCCTGTGAGCTTTGCAGTAGTCGCCTTGGGTGCCCTGACACTGGAGATAGATCACAACCTAGGATATTTTGTGGCAGGACAATGGCAAGACTTTGACAGGAGGAAGTTTTGTGTTCTATGCACGATATAGGATTGTTTGTTTGAGAATCCAGAATATGAGATATGCTAGTGTACGTTATGTTTCCGTAAGATGGTACTTGCATCTGAATTCTGACAGGAACTAACAAGCTGGATGTGGTTTGACTTGCTAATGCTTGGTGAGCGTGTGAAAGCACTGCTATCGTTGACAAAACATTGCCTAAACTCTGAGAACAATCTTCCTGGGGTTTTCTTAAGTTAATATTAAGTTCAGATGCATTGGATTCTTCAGGTTCTTTCTTAATTAGAAGCATTATGCTATCCATGTCTTGAACATTGCAGACATTTGGTTTAGCATATTGAGATGAAGCTTGCACTGGGCTATATTGTTTGTGTTGTGGAAAAGGACTACCGGAAACCAAAGAGTACCTTATTTTCTCAATGGTTTCCTCAGGTGTAAATACTTTGCTTGGTGAGGTTGTTCTCTTGCTCATTTCATCTAAGACTGTACCACCTTGTGTCTCGGGTTCACCACTTAATGATGCCTGCCTAACCAAGAAGGACCTTCTACGCTCTTTAACCTCCTCCAGCCTAGATGTAGATGAAGGAGAAAGACTGCCATAATCAAAAGACTTGCTTCGAAATTCTGGAACCTCTGAGAGTAATTTATAGGGTGACTGCTCTGAAGCAGAACGTCTCATCTCTCTGTGATGACTTTGTGAACTACCTGGCACAGATAAGAACTCCAAAGGCTTATTAAACTCATCTGGGTTGGCTTGGGACACAAGGTTAAGGGTCTCCTCTCTGTCAAGGGACTGGGAAAAACTTGAGCTGTGGGATAAATTGCTATCTTGACTCGGGCTTCTGGAGAGACTTGTGCAAGCAGATTCAAAACTAGATTCTCCAGAAGAACATTCCAATTCTGCTAATCTCAAGCGTTTCTTTTTGGGTGGTAGCTTTTCCATTGGAAACTGTGACAGGGTTTCACTCCTCTGTGGCCACTGGAACTCTTCAGTGTGTTTTTCCTTCTGCTTGACCCCTACATCCGGAACTTTTTCCGGTCTGTCAGGCTCCACAGTTACTCTAATCTCTGGAACTTGGATACTGGGCTGAGATGGTGGCTGTTTAGGCATGTAAAGTTTCTGGTGTAGAAAACCGCTGCTTCCCCATTGCCAGTCTACTCCTTCTGTTCTGTGAACCTCCATGCTATGTTCCTTTTCCATGTATTTGTAAGTGCCAATCTTGTCTAAGGGATGTGATCTAGTATCACTTGACTTTTCTGACGAGTTTAGTCTGTTTAATGAATTTGTGTGCTGAATGACAGAGATAACATTACTGCCAGCCCTTCTCTCAGTGTCAGAAAAGGCAGTGTCTAAAGTAGTTTGCTTTGTTTCAGGTTCCTCTGAGTGTCCAGAAGGCTTGACTTGGATATGAAAGTCTTCTTCCTCCATGACATTTTTGTCTTTTCTTCGTTTCCTTGTAGAATTTTCAGATAAGTAGCATGGAGATATGGAACACTGATCAGCTTCTTGACAGTTTTCTGCACCCATTTTGGAATCATCTATGCTGTGAATTTTCAAGTCTGATTTTAAGCTACAAGCCAGATGAGCGTAGCAGTCTGATTCTGCATGTCCTTCGTTAGCAGAGTGCTCAAACGCAGCTTGCCGCATTAGTCTTCTCATACCCATTGCACCCCTGTAGGTGACATCAGCACCTGTCAATCTTTCATCAAATGAATTACTGCTTCTTAGCCCTTCTGGTGCATTTAGATTCGAATTAGATGATGTTGGAAGAGAATTACTGCGCAAGAATACACTACTGTCTGATGCCATTTCCGGAAAGTCAGAGCTAGGGTTTTGACATTCTTGGTAATCTTCCTCTTGGAAGGACTCTGAATCAATTTTTATTGATCGAACTAGGTCTTTTTTGCTTCTGTGAATGGAGGAGTCTGTGTCACCAGGGATCATGCCTTTGTTCAATGTAATCATGAAGCTAGATGTGGCTTCATTTATGTCTGTCATGCAAGTTTGTACAGTGATTGATTGCTTTGGCCTGGTCGTTGGTCTATAACATTTCCCAAACATAATTTCTTGATACGATTTGGCATTCACGCTCGACTGGTTGAACTGTTGCTCTGCACTTTCAGAACGTGAGAAGTATCCTGAATCAGTGCTGCCTTTACTGTATGAACTGGGCAGGGAAAGAGACTGATCAGAGTCTTGACTTTTCTTCTCCGAAAGCCGAAGTGCAAGTCTTTGCTTGATGGAGGAGAATTCAATCATTTGGTCCACCTGAGCAATTGCCGCAGGTGCCGACATTTCCCGGAACTGCCATAAAGATACCTTTCCTGATGACCCTGTTTCCTTTTTGACTGAAGTCTGAGCAGAGCACATGGTTTCCCTTTTTGCCTGTTTCCCTCCTTTTTCATGCACAAAACCCTCTGTGTCTTTGATATGGCTTGTTGTATCCAAGGACGAGTCCTCCACAACTTCTTCATCGGTGTCACTGCTCTGCTCAGCATCAAAACGCATCTCGCCCTCTGCCACAGTTAACTCCTCATCCATATGCTTGCTGTCTTGTTCTGAAAATGAAACCAATCCTGCTTTCACTGCATGGGTGTGAGATTTTCTGTGTTTGTAGAGGTTGCTCTTAGTTTTAAATGAGAAACCGCAAGGAATGCACGGATACGGTCGTTCGCCAGTATGAGATCGGATGTGCTTCTTTAGTACGCTGGGTTTGGCACAAGCTCTCCCACAATACTGGCATACATACTTCCCAGTCTTAACAGACTTCTGCTCCTTTTTGTGAAGGCCCTCTGACAGCAGCTCATATTCCGACTGAAGATATCGTTTGTTTGGGAGAGGAACGTTCTTCCTCCTGAGCTGGATGTGACACTGTTCTTTAGATTTTGAGGTAAGAATATTTTCTGAAGCAAGGACCTGTGACTCCATACCAGAAGATGGACTTACAGCTGGGGTCTGGGTTTGCTCCACAAATCTTATTTTGTCCTCTGAGCCAGAGGATTGGCCTCTTTGGGTCATCTCGGATGGCAAGTATTTTTCGTCATCTTTTAAACTGATAATCTGTTTGGAACGTACCGCTTCACCTGAGGTTTTTGTAGCCTCCATTATAAGGATTTGCTAACTCCAGTTGCTACATTGCCCTTGGTTTTGTGACAACGAACATCTTCTTGCTTCGATTAAAGTTTCTCACTTAACTTGGAAGTTTAATCCTTCAGTGCTTTAAACAGCCCCCTATGATTGTACAGCAGTCAGTCCACCAGCATCATATTCAAAAATGATGAAATAATCCTTTCCATTTGTTCAAGAGCATAGTTCAGTCAAGTTGTTTAAAAATGGTCTCCATCTCTATATACATTTAGGCCTGGGCACCACATCCAAATTGTCTGCAAACAGTAAAAAAAACATGTTATCAGCAAACAAATTAAAAACATTTCAATTACTGTATAGTGAAGTATAACTTGAGTAGTATAATGAAATGTTACTTATTCATGAAACGAGTACAAAAGCCATCTTCAAGCCAAAATGGCCCATAAACTCACCATGCCCTGAGTAGAGTGTTTCTGAAGGCAGTGTGCCAGCACCATCTCTGTGTCTTTCTGAGGTTTGTGATTGATGCGAAGGTTGTCTCAAACTGTAAGGTCAGGAATTCCTCCATTAGAGAATTGACCAAAACTACAAGTACAACAAGTACACGGCTGTGCAAGGATAAAAAAGGAGGTATAATCTCTATTTGGAATGTTGTTGTTGCTATTCAAAGAAATCTAAAAAGAAATCTGGCTAATCCTGAAATACGAATGAATATCAATAACTCAATTATATACTGTACATTACTGTTAAGAAGTTTGCTGTCAGTAAATGTTTTTGAAAGAAATGAACACTTTTATTCAACAAAAATGCATTAGATTGACCCTTCACAGTAAAGACATTTACAGTAAAGACATTTACAAAATATTTCTATTTTCTATTTCAAATAAAAGCTTTTTCAAATTTTTGATGTAAGGATGTATCCAAATACTCAAGATTCAGGGAAACAAATGTAAAAGATCTACCATTGAAAAACCCCTATTGATGCACTATTCTGAATATTAGGAAGAATGTGTCTACCTCAATATACAATGTATGGTGGTTACAGCCTGGTTTAATGACTGTGTACCTCATTAACCAAACATATATACATGTCAAGTACCCTGTAGAATGTCAAGAGAGTCTAAAAACTAGTGAATGTATCTACATCTATTTTGCAACGCAAGACAAATGTCTGACCAAATTCCATTATACTAAAGTTAAAATTTTACTGCTCAAATAAGTCAACAGGTAGTGCCACAATATGAACAGGATATAAAACAATAATATTGCAACTTATACCACCTCTGCCTACACAATTTGAGAAGACGTGCAAATATAATTTCCATCTGCATACATCAGAGTGTGTATAATGAGGTTACATAAGGTTATCTGGTTCAAACCTCTTAATTAGGACATTCAAACTCTAAAGCCATTTGAGAAGAAATATCAAGCTCTGCCAGGCTATAAAACCTAAAACCGAACTTTGACATGGTCTACAATGAAGTCAAATATTTCCCACGGGTCGAGTTAGTATCTAAACAGCCTGTCTGTCTGTCTGATGATAGCGAGCACAGAAGAAAGTGGATGTAGGAATGACAAAACACAGCAATCAGATGTGCTTTTTTCAAGGTCAATCTCAATCCTGCATTGTCCTCAACATATTGAAGGAGGAATATGGTGGATAAACCTGTCAGAGGCTAAATGCACCTTTAAAAACTGGGCTGACAAGTGTCAATGGTGCCACAGAATTCAGTACTAAGATATGGGGCAATGATCCCATTAAATCTGTCAAAGTAACACGATGTGAATTTATCCTTTAAGAAATTCATCGAAACTCATCTGTAATAGTGGACATAATACTTGAAGTATCTAAGTTTGACCTTCGATCATCCTTTAGATGATCACACATGCATCTGCATTAATGCATCCACACTACAACAACAACAACCAGAGGAACATATCAAAGCCAGAGGCGGGAAAATATAACCAGACTCCAGAGAATGCCATTACGTCATATCAGACCCCCCCATGGCATCACTACCCAGCGGAATGCCTGGCATCTCATGAAATACAGCTGTGTTGCATCTTAAAACTATAACAGGCACATAGAAGAGCTTATCGTACTCCAAAAAAGCAGAGCAGACAAGGAGCGACTTTGACGAGTCACCTGCTTTTGAGTCCCAGTAAGACATATAACACACTGATTGCCATCAACCTACAAACCTGGAGTCCAAATTCAGCCTTGTCCAATGTCTCCAGTCAAATGCAGATGTTCTCATAATTCCTGCTTCCCGTATTGCTGTACATCACCTTCAAAAAAAGACAAATGTGCCAGGAATAAGTCCTCAACAGTCATCCATGTCTTGCTCAATAAGAGTACATTAGAAGACCTACAGATGTAAGCGAGTCACCACAGAAAATACCTCACTGAGACGCGTATCCAGGAACAAAAATAGAAAAGGGACCCTGTGAAGGGTTATGCAACGGCCCACATTCGAGCCACTTTTGCATGAGCGCAAAGGAGAAGTGAATGGCCATGCTGCTGTGTTACTGCTTGTGAAAAGGGACTGAAAGCAGAAAGGTTTTGAATAAAACAAAACCTAAATTGCACTGAAATAAAATATTCAAGCTGTGTATAGAATTGCATACTCTTACTAGTTCTGCAATATACAGTAATTATGGCAGAGATTCTAAGAGTAGTATGATAGTACGCTATTCCAAACACATGTACAACTGGAACTGAAAGTCCTGATAGTTGCAAAGCCAGCTATCATTAGGGATGTGGCTCATGAGTGTTATAAATGATCAGCAGCACCGTCTTAAAGTCAAAACAAAATCCTAACTGCTCTTTGCTCTTTTAATATAGATGCTCCTGGTTTTATTTTACTTTATTTATTGATGCACATTATTTCAAAACCACATTTGCATTCATAATGTTTCATCAAAATGTAATAGTGCAACAGTGTGCATCCACTTTTTCAGCTGCCTTGGTTCCGGAAGTATTTTTCCATTCATCAAGTATTCTTAAAAGAATAAAAACTTTTGAAAATTTTAAAAAGTTTGATTTAAACAATGTATTTTAGGTTTACTATGTAACACATATATACACACGCACACACACACACACACACACACACACACACACACACACACACACATAAATATTTAAGTAATTTCAAAGCGCTGGAGATTGACATTCACAGTGCTTCATGGGAATGGGCGGTTCTTCTGGCGTGTTTTGTTTGTTTCGATTCTCTGATTGGCTTCAAAGATTTATTTGCAGAAACATTGGTAATGTTGTTTTTCATCAGGAATTAAGCTATTATATATGATTATTTATAAGAAAGAGTTGAAATAAAGTGGGCTGATTGCTTCAACAAAAGCATTAATCAACAACCTCTTAGCTCACGGTAGCTCTGTCTTTAAATGTATAATTGTATATAATAATTATTGTATATAATATTATTAATTACTATTTAAATCTCCAGTCCGTAACTTTTTTGGGATAAAAATTATCCAAAATAAGTTTTTAATCAAGTACATAACCAGCCAGTGTTCAAAACTATCTGCTTGCCGTAGCTCGATTCAAAGCGGTAAGCTTGTAATAATGTTTTTAATTCCAGCGGTACTTGTGGATTTCCGCGGGAGATTTGAGCATGTCTTTGCGTCATTACGTCACATCTGTACACATAAAGGAGTCTCGGCTAGTAGGCTATGAGTGTGAGGATGCTGGAGGTGGAGATTTATAGCCTTTTCTCACAGCACTTGATATAATTAAACTTATTCATTTGATGGCGGATCCAGAAAAGTTCAAACGACAATCACCAGTGACAACTAGAGATTCACACGTTGTAAAATGCAAAAGAATTTGGAGTGGCTACAGAAGAGATGGCAAACGGGCCCATGAAAACAAGGATAAATATCGGAAGGACATTACATGTAGTCTTAATTTTAAGCCTAAAATGTGTTTTAATATCACTATTAGTAAGGTTAGTATGATCTCTGTATAATATCAGTCTTTAAATGCAAGATATTTAAAGTGAACCTAAAGTATACTTGCAATAGTTCCATTTTACCACAATCAAATATAGTATAGCCTACTTACTTTAGTTGGACTTCAGCACTATTTCTGGATAACTAAAGTGAATTAAGTACAAAATTAGTTGACCCAATTTAGCAGATTTTAAGTTTACTAATTTAGTATACAAAAAGTACAATTGAAAGACATTTATATTACATAAATATGTAAATGTATTTGTAGTATACTTAGCATAAAATACATGTATTTCAAATATATTTATTTTTCACTAGGGTTATCATTAAAAATCAATTCCACTATGGAGAAAATGAATAGGACTTTTACTTTCGGAACACTCTAAATTTCTCCGGCTCTGAAACAACATTCCTTTTATGCTGACATCATGAATTCCTCTCAGTCACCATGAATTTCCTTTCAATCCCCTTTTCAACCACTCAACTTTTTCAACATTGCTTTTTATCCAAAGTGTCTTACAAAAGAAATCAAGTCGGAAGCAAATGTGGATAGTTTTTATATGACATTTGAATACAATTTTAAGTAAACGAGTAACTGAAAGTAAGCCCTTGTTCAGGGTCCTCACTACATCTCAATTGGCGTTTAACCTTGACCTTTCTACACAATACAATTTACACAGCTAAAAATACTTGACCTGCCGTGACCATCATCTTAAGTTACAACGGGGAAGACAACTGCACTGCATTAGAGGAGCGGAGGGGGTCAGGATAACATGATACACTACAGATACCGTCAGTGAGTTGTAGTCTTAGTCTATTAAGTAACATTGTAGCCCACCAGCATTACAAAAACAAGCAAGCATCACTATTACTATTGCTTATACTCAGAGCTAGTGATTTGATCAAACCCTTAGTATTGCATTTTGGCAAGGAACTCATTTTCACTCATGCGTTCTCCGGACATGAATGATTTCTCAAGAGTCTTGATAAATGACTTACACTGAAAAATGTTTCCCATTTTGTCACTTAGGGTAAGTTTACACGACAACAATGTACTAAAAACAGAAAAGTTGTCTCGTAAAGACGACAACATTGTCAAAATGATCCCTGTTCACACGGATCCGCGAAAAACGACTAAAAACGCTGTATTATTTATGCCAGGTCAGTTCTTGGCGATGTCACTTTATAAAGAAAACTACACGCCTATAGACTGAACACGTAATATGCATGAACATGACGTCACCGTTTTCACAAATTCACCTTTTTAGTGAAGATGATCTAAATCTAAATCTAAATTGAGCTTAAAAAAAGAACAAGTAGCCTATCTTTTTAAGATTTTTCTGACCCCACCGGCAGATTTTTGCTTGTTTTAAACTTAAACTCACTTCATTTTGATACGTTTTTCAGAAAACGTAACTTAAAGCTGCAGTCTGTAGTTTTTCCTCTTTGTCGCCATCTCTGTTTGAAATCTGCAATTGCAGTTATTTGCAGAATTATCAACTTTACATGGGTTGTGCCTCGACACGGCACAGCGCGGATGAACACAATGTTTTGAGGAGAGTGTGTGCAGCTGTCAGTCACCGCGCCGGTGTGGATACTGTCATTCAGAATCACAGATTATACTTTTTGGAAGTATGACCAACATAAGAATTTTCACAGGAAAATGTGATCTGAACAAATAAGTAACATCCACTTTTGTTCTGACCAACTAAGGGAAAAAAGCATTGCAGTAAATCGTGCTGATTAAATCTATCGCTTATCATATCACATCAAACCGTGCAAATTATACTTTGTTCTCAAATTGTTAATGTTAACAACATCAGCATTGCTTAACAACATTTAATGCCCTTCAGATATTTTTGCAGTCTCTTTTTTTCTGTATAGCCACTCTGAACTCCATTGCATTTTACAACGGGTGAATCTCTAGTTGTCGCTGGTGATTGTCGTTTGAACCTTTCTGGATCCACCATCAAATTGATAAGTTTAATTATATCAAGTGCAGTGAGAAAAGGCTAAATCTCCACCCCCAACATCCTCACACGCAATATAGCCTACTAGCCGAGACTCTTCTTTATGTGTACAGATGTGACGTAATGACGCAAAGACATGCTCGAATCTCCTGCGGAAATCCACCAGTACCACTGGGATTAAAAACATTATTACAAGCTTACCGTTTTTAATCTAGCTAAGGCAAGCAGATAGTTTTGAACACTGGCTGGTTATGTACTTGCTCAAAAAACTTATTTTGGATAATTTTTATCCCAAAAAAGTTACGGACTGGAGCTTTAATATCTTGTTTAGAAATTTGTACTGGAAAACAAGACAAATTACTGAGTATAAGAAAATCAGATATTGCAGTGTATAATTGTCATTTGTGAACAAAAACAAAACTAAAAAAAAAAAAAAAAAAAAAAGAACAACAGGGCAAATCAGGGCAAAGAACAACAAATCTCATAGACTTGCATTGAAGAAGGGAACCGAGCTAAAGTACCAGATTTGGGCAAGCAAGCAACCACCCACAATATACCTTAGCAACCACTATCAACATGCTAAAAACTCACTCAGAGCACTTTAGAAACAGCATAATAACATCCAATGAATAGTGCAACAAGTTTTGAATGGGCAATTACCACTCTATTCTTGAATAATGCTTTTTTGCTGAGTCAGGAAAGCTGTGTTTACGTCCAGTTTATGTGAAGCATTAATAGTACAGAAGCAGTCCTGAACAACAGTTTATTTATTTTCACAGAATGCAGTAATTCATCATTGTGACACGACCAGCCATGGGAGGAGGAACGTTTGCACACTATCAAATCACATGCAAATGTGCAGATTTCCGCTGGTCAGCAGACTCATGTGGAAAAGCCGAGCAGGAGGACCCGCTGGGACAGACCATCATATTTATAGAGAGACGAGAGACTTGACCTTCAATGCTTGTGGAGGATCAGCCATTTCAGGGCAGTTCCACAGTATACTTAATGCAGAATATAGAAAGCTGCAGTGCCTTCTCTCTCTATATATATATATACTGTATATATATATATATATATATATATATATATATTCCTGTGATGCAAAGTTCAATTTTCAGCATCATTACTCCAGTCTTCAGTGTCACATGATCCTTCAGAAATCATTCTAATATGAATATGATTTCTTATCAATGTTGAAAAGAGTTGTTATTTTGTCACAAAAAAAGTCACTTTTGATCAATGCAACCTTACAGAATGAAAGTATTTATTTTGTTAAAGAAAAATCTTACTGACCTCAAACGTTTGAACAGTAGCGTACATATACAAATACATATAAATAACATATAACAAGCTTTACAATGCGTTCTCCCAGAAACATACATTTACAGTACATTTATTAAAATGTCTTACTCTGCATGCCATGTTTACATATTTAAAGATCTAATATTTTAATATTAATCGTTAACTGATTAATCATCATTTTCATCAAATATGTACAGATTCCTATCAGCCCTACAAAGGTTGCTGATTGCACTAAAAGTGTGCCATATGCAAATGGCCTTGATCTGGAAATTATACTGTAAATGTCACTCACCACGCATGTGTTGCGCAGAAATGAGGAATGTTCCCATGGCAACAAAAACGGCTATTTCTGCTGCACTTCACATTCTTTGTCTCACATAAGGGGATATTCAATAGGCTAACAGGCATCCTCAAGTAACCCTCGTGCACCTGTGACATCACATGCTCACTAAACCCCCTCACAGCACACAGAACAGATGAGAATCTGTAGAATCCATACATCCTTCACCAGGTAACCTAAAATGTGCTTGGTTTGATATAAAGCACATTTTTTAATGGTTTTAATCCAGTAACAGTACACTGTGGTACTCTAGAAATAGATGTTTAAAGGAATTGTTTAGCCAAAAATGAAAATTGTATCCTTATTTATTTATTTCAATTTTGTTCCAAACCTGTACTCTGTTATATTTTCTATGGAACACAAAAAGTTCTCCAAAATTTTGAAGAATATTCGCACAGTTCAAGACAGCAGTATACACATGCACATATAACAACACATATCACAACACAACACACAGATTACAATCAATCATTTAAAAACCTAATTACAGCAGGTATAAAGGAATTTCTGTATCTATTTGATTTACACAAGGGGAGTTTAAATCTCCGTCCTGAAGGAAGTAGTTGAAGTTCACTACATAATGGGTGAGTGACATCAGAGAGGACTAACTGGCCCTTCCTAATCATCCTATGCTCATAAATTTGTGTGATAGTCCTTAAGTCAATCCCAACTATCTTGCTACACATTGTAACTACGCTTGTCAACTTCCTCCTCTTCTTAACATTAAGATTAATGTTCAAGACCCCCACCCCTGCATTTCTGTCACGTTTCAGTCCAATGATGATGAAGAAGATAAACACTTCTTGTTTTTATTTAAATAAAGTCAGCTCAGGTAATCCACAGATGCGAGACAGCATTCAAGCACAAACACATGAACAATAGGCTACAGGACACTAAATATGAACTAAAGAGGAACTTAAATACACAGAAATAATAAACTGAATACAGACAGGTGTGCTCGTTACATGAATGTCCACGACAACTGATTACTGGCGGGAAACTACAACAAAGGTAACTGAAGAGAAACAAACTAAAAGACCATGAAAATGAAACTAAAGCTAAACTGAACATAAAGTTGACAATTTCATTTGTAACAGTATTTATTCATCTTTATTAGCATAAAAGGAGGAGCGACGACAGTGAAGGACGAAAGAGGACCAGGCCTGGATTTTACGTTGTGTTTATGTGTGTGCAGCAGTCGTCCATGAGGGGCTGCCGCTTTACTTGCGTTTTGTGTTTATTTATTTATTGAATACTGTTGAACGTTCGCCAGTTCTCGCCTCCTTCCCTTATCAACTAACTTTGTTACAAGAACAAAATGAATGACTAAACTAAAAATGACTTAAATTTCAGCCTATTCCCCACACAATGCATTTGATCAATGCAAGTCTATAGTGCACAAGTCATATAGACTACTGTTATAATTCTTTAATGGCGTTTTTTGTTTGTTTGTTTTAGAGGTATGGAGAAAATGTCAGGATTTTCATTTTTGGGAGATCTATTTCTGTAATGCCACAACTGTATGTCTTCAGTCCTCACAGTGCAGCTTCCCAGTATTTCTCAGACTTTAGAGAAGGTCACAAGCTTTAGATTTTGAAATAAATGCCTTGAGTTTCTCAGTGTTATTCTGGTGAACAGTGTTCTCTGATCACCATGGCAACACATGCTAAGTGCTATTTCACAGTGAATGAAGAGGCAATGAATAGGCTTCCATTGAAGTGTGCAGGACTAGAATCATATGACTCATGATCAAAAGGCTTATAACATGTCTAGATGAAATGAATGCATGTCCAAACATGCCCATACAAGCTCTGTTGACCAATACCACCTCGGATGACCAAAACTATGCCAATATTTACTGTATTTAACAGTTGTTTTACACATTAATCACTCAAATAATATTAATAAACACAACGTCTCTCTTACTGGATCTCCAGAGCATCAACAGCAGCCACAAGTCCAATACGTCCTGCATCCCAACCATGTGCCAGGATAAAAAGGCTTCACATTATCATGTTCAGATCATATCTAACTCTCTCACCTGGCCAGATCTCCTCATTCAAACCCAATTAGCTCCCTCAGGTCAGGTTCCCATCCTCAGTGTATGACTGCCAAGAGTCCTATTTTACACTGACTTCTTTCTGTTAGGCACTGCTACAATCCTCTTACTCACATGAGCAGTGGGAAGTAAGTGGAAAATGATCATGTTTCTTGGCATTAACACGTGTGTGTTGATTGGCTGAGGGCTGATGTCCATCACCGTGACAACACGCTGCTGGCAATGGCAGCAGCCGGAGAGAAATATACACAGGGACGGAAATAGATTTCTGCTCACTCCGGAGCACCACAATCCCAGCACAGAGGAAGGGAGGGAATCTGAGACGGAAGATGAATGCAGACATAAGAAAGCAAGGACATTAGCTTAGAGTATCACACCTGCAGCGTGCCACTGCTCAATGCTCACTGTGTGTGCAGAGACGTACTGTTTTGGTGAACATTACTTTGCACAATTTACTCCCGGTTTCACAGACTAGGCTTAGTTGCAGACAAAAATGCATGTTTGAGCTGAAAGTAATTTGCAGTGACATATCTTAAAATATGTCAGTGCCATTGTTTTCTCTCAAGATGCACACCAGTAATGTTTTCTTCTAAAGCTAATTTATAAAAGCTTCTTAAATGCCCTAATTTAACTAAGGCTTAATCCTGGCTTAATCTAAACTCTGTCTGTGAAACCGGACCTTAAAGGGATAGTTCACCCCAAAATTTTAATTTTGTCATCATTTACTCCCCCTCATGTTGTTCCAAACCTGCATGAGTTTCTGCCAAGAGTAACAAAATAAGATAACAAAATAAGATATTATAAATAATGAGTAACAAAATAACACAAAATAAGATATTATAAATAATGTTGGTAATCAAACAGTTGACGGAATACATTGACTTCCATAGTATGGCTACCGTCAACTCACCCATGCACGACGATCACAAACTCGCCAGTCTGATCGATAACCGAGTTATGGCTAAAGCAGTTTAACGATGCGGCCCATGCTTGCTATTGTTAAAAAGTACCCATGTAGCCCACTGTAGTCGCCAACTTAGTTAAAGCCCAAATAATAAGGTTATGGCTAGTACATTAAGATAATGCCGCTCCAACGCTTGCGATTACCGCGATTACCTCAATTACCTCAAGTTTTCTAAAGTTAATAATTTCATCTTGATTCAGGTCACAGACAGCAACAGTCATGGTTTAATGGACATGGTCATAATTCAGTGCATTGTCTGCCATCCTGTGATTTGTAGAAGGTCAACTTGTCCAAACGGCTGTGACATTAAATCAGCAGCTTATAGACCCAGAGCCAAAGCTTCTGAGCATCTGAATATAAACTGAAATCAGCAAAACACTAGTCATTTAGTAATCTGGCATATTTCTGAGTGAGGCAGGATATTTATGTAAAACAGCACTTGATTGAAAATGTTGCAGTTACATACCAAAACGAAGTTTGGTGGTTGGAGGGAACTAGTTGAAAAATGAGAGGGATTCGTGTTGTCAGTCATTTCAGAGGAAGAGCAAAAAATATAGGCTATCATCAAAACAATAAAAAAGTTATTTTCTAAAGTAACTATTTTTGTCTTGATTTTCAGTAAAATATCTAAACATTCTTAAATGAAGATGCACTGGAGAAGCAAAATTACTTATGATATAAAGTTATTTTGTGGAAAAAATAAGTGATTTTATGCTATAACAAATATATAACAAATATCCACCAGTGGGTAAGAAAAATTAAGTTGAATTAAGTTTTTTCTTACCCCAATGTCTGATATTTCTCTTGTTTTAAGTGTAAACTCGCTTAATGTTGAGTTGTTGTTGTTGTTTTTTCCAGAAAACAAGACTTGATACTTTAGTAATTTTGCTTTCTCAAGTAAATGTATCTTCATTTAGAAATGTTTAGATATCTGTACTCTAAAACAAGGTCAAAAACACTGAAAAGAAAATCATTTTATGGTGTTAAGTTGTTGCATTCTGTTAAAAGAGTTTTCAATTTTAGAACAGATTAGTTTTTTTTTAAATTGCAATTGAATAATTAAAGAAATAATGAGGGTTAGTAACAAAAAACTATTTAGCTGAACTATTCATTTAAAAAAACAATGCATCCCCTATACAATTTGGTAACCAATCAGAATGACTTTCCCGTAAGTCTAATAATGTCATGGCTTCTATGTCATATATCACATGTAGTGCACAAATAGGAAGCAGGACGAAATCCCCTCGCAGACCCCCTCATTATGTCGTACTACACGTAATGGAAGATTGGCTCTGGAACCCCAAAGGTCCTTCCTACTTTACCTCCCAGCGGCAGGCTTTACCCGCTCAGACCAGACACCAGCACAAACACCACCCGGACACCTGCCAAAACAGAGACATTTGCATGTGGAAACCATGAGGAAATACGCAAAACAGACCAAAAAGGGAGTTTCACATACATGAGGAACATTCTGTTGCTAATTCTGAAATCCCCCCCTGCCGAGTGAGATGTTCATAAACAGTGCAGGACTATTCTTGGCAGAGCTGCCCTGAATAACTCCGATAGGGAGTTTCTGATATGGGAGCAGTGGCCACGTGTGTCTGAATGCAGCATGTGATGCTCTCCGATTCCAAAGACAGCCATAAGCAGAGCATTATGGGTAGCTCAGGCTGCCACACACTCTATTCAGATGAACATCTCTCCAAATTCAAAAGACTAAACAAATTTCATATCCTCTACATTTTACACACATAACTTTTAAGATAAAAGTCACTTCACTAAGGGAGTTAAAGAGTTAGTTCACCCACAAATGAACATTCTCTGTCAGTAATTACTCCCCTTCATGTCGTTCCAAACTCGTAAGACTTTCGTTCATCTTCGGAACACAAATTAAGATCTTTTTGATGAAATCTGAGAGCTTTCTGTCCCTCCATTGACAGCTATGCAACTACCACTTTGACGCTTCAAAAAGTTCATAAAGAGATTGTAAAACTAATCCATATGAATCGAGCGGTTTAGTCCTAATTTTCTGAAGAGACTCGATCACTTTATATGATAAACGGATTTAATTTAGGCTTTTATAAAGTTTTAAATATTGATATTTTTCTTATAAAAATGCATTGTTTCGCTTCAGAAGGCCTTTATTAACACCCTGGAGTCGTATGGATTACTTTTATAATGGATGGATACGCTTTTTTGGGCTTCAAAATATAAGTTACTCACTGCCATTATAAAGATTGGAAGAGCCAGGATATTCTTTAAATATAACTCAGATTGTGTTCGGCTGAAAGAAGAAAGTCATATTATACACCTATAGGATGGCTTGAGGGTGAGTAAATTATGGGATAATTTCATGTTTGGGTGAACTATCCCTTCAAGTATATCGGGGCATTAAGACCCAGTGTTGTTTTTGCTAACAAAACTATTAAAATTCTTGTATATATTGAAGTAAAGCTGAGATCAACATCAATTCTAAATAATACAGGGAAAACGTCTCGGTTATGGATGTAACCCTCGTTCCCTGAGTAGGGAACGGAGACGTTCCGTCGGATGACGACGAATGGGGTTTCGCTTAGAAAGCCAATCGACTTCGAGTACTACAAAGCGAGCCAATGGCAAAGAAATGCCATGGGTCTGCGGAATTTGCATTGCGTGACTCCGCCTCACCTCGTGGGTATTTCGTGGGCTGGCAGCAAATAGGCATGTTTCTTCGCTGAGGAGCCAAGACTGAGCTCAGGCGATCCCCGCGGTACAGCGGAAAGTGGCAGGAAGACGGAACGTCTCCGTTCCCTACTCAGGGAACGAGGGTTACATCCGTAACCGAGACGTTCCCTTTCGTTGTCACTCCGAGTTCCGTCGGATGACGACGAATGGGGATACAAGTCTAATCACGCCACCTTCTCGGCTGTCTTCCAGTGCCCTAGGTAAATCTGAGATCCCTGTCGTGAGACTAGCACGGACGAAGGACTCCTATTTAGCACAGGGATACCAAGGTACACTGGGGAGCATATCCCAGATTTTGGGGGAATATGCAATTACTGCCAACCCAGAGGGGGGGGACTTAAGAATACACATATGACCCGAGGGATGCATATGGGGAATCACTGGGGTGTCCAGCCGCAGGTGGAATATTTCAACCCCAGGGGTGGCAAGGTGGCTTGCCGAGGGAAAGACACATGCTCAAAGAGGCTTACAGTGGAAATACACATGTGGGGGTAGCTCAGAGGAGGTACCATGCACACGGAAGGCACCTAGCCGACGCGCAGGCAATAGACACTGGCGCCAGCGTCAGCAGTGCTGGAGGAACTCAGGGCTTTCGGGGAAGCTCACCTGAGGAGAATATCGCACGTATCCAGTCCGTGGAGTGGAATGGCGAGCAAGCGAAGACACCTGAGCGGGTCTGGCACTAGCTGGTTGAAGCGAGTACATTAGAGGACACTGGCTCCACTCGGAGATTGTAAAATCTGGCGAATGTGTTAGGTGTTGCCCAGCCTGCAGCTCTGCAGATGTCTGTTAGCGAGGCGCCATGCGCTAGAGCCGAAGAGGACACCACACTCCGGGTGGAGTGTGCGGTCACACCAAGGGGACACGGTCGACCTTGCTGCTGGTATGCCAAAGCAATGGCGTCCACTATCCAGTGAGACAACCTTTGCTTGGAGAGAGCCTTTCCCTTCAGCTTCCCACCATAACAGACAAAGAGCTGCTCTGAGGTCCTGAAACACTGCGTTCTGTCTACATAGATGCGAAGAGCACGTACTGGACAGAGCAGTGCCAAGGCTGGGTCTGCCTCCTCCGGGGGCAGCGCTTGCAGGTTCACCACCTGGTCCCGGAAGGGAGTGGTAGGAACCTTGGGCACATATCCAGGCCGGGGTCTCAGGATCACGTGAGAGTAAGCCGGCCCGAATTCCAAGCACGCTTCGTCAACGGAGAATGCGTGCAGGTCCCCTACCCTCTTGATGGAGGCCAATGCAGTCAGAAGCGCTGTCTTCATTGACAGGAAGTTAAGCTCGACCGACTGCAAAGGCTCAAAGGGAGCGCTGCGCAGGGCAGTTAAGACCACTGCGAGGTCCCAAGAGGGTACGAGAGGAGGGCGAGGAGGATTCAGTCTCCTCGCTCCTCTCAGGAACCTGACGATCAGGTCGTGCTTCCCCACAGACTTACCTTCTATTGGGTCATGATGTGCGGCAATGGCGGCGACATAGACCTTGAGGGTGGAGGGAGACAGCCTTCGCTCCAACCCCTCTTGAAGAAAGGAAAGCACGACACTGATCGAACATCTCCGCGGGTCTTCTCGGTGAGAAGAGCACCAGTTGACGAACACGTGTCTCGTGGACGACGCTCTAGCGGAAGTGATGGTAGCCAAAAAAGATCGGGACGAGGGTGCCATAGGTTGCCCCGTCCCTGAGAAAGGAGGTCCTTCCTCAGGGGAATCGGCCAAGGAGGTGCTGTCGCGAGGAGTATGAGTTCGGAGAACCAGGTCCGGGTGGGCCAGTACGGCGCGACCAGAATGACCTGCTCCTCGTCCTCCCTGACCTTGCGCAGGGTCTGCGCAAGAAGGCTCACTGGGGGGAATGCATATTTGCGGCCCCGCGGCCAGCTGTGCGCCAGTGCATCCGTGCCGAGCGTGCCCTCGGTCAGGGAATAATACAGGGCGCAATGGGTCGAGTCGAGAGAGGCAAACAGATCTATCTGTGCGTCCCCGAACTGGTCCCAAATCAGCTGAACCGACAGGGGATGGAGTCACCAATCTCCCGGAGGGGCTGAAGCCGTGAGAGCTCGTCGGCTGCACAGTTCAGGGCTCCGGGGATATAAATGGCACGAAGCGACCTCAGATGCTTCTGACTCCATAAGAGGAGGTGGCGGGCGAGTTGCGACATACGGCGGGAGCGCAGACCACCTTGCCGGTTGATGTACGCTACGGTCGCGGTATTGTCTGAACGGACCAGTACATGCTGACCCCTGAGCACGGCTCGGAAGCGGCACAGGGCAAGCTGTACAGCCAGCAACTCGAGGCAATTGACGTGCCACAGGCGGTGGGGTCCTGTCCAGGAGCCCGCGGCAGCACGCCCATTGAACGGTCTGTGTCGAGGGAGGATGGAGACATGAAAGTAGGCGTCCTTCAGGTCGATCGCTGCAAACCAATCCTGGTGCCGCACACATTCGAAAACGCGTTTGGCAGTGAGCATCTTGAACGGCAGCCTGTGAAGGGAGCGGTTCAGAACGCGCAGGTCCAGGATTGGCCGTAACCCACCGGTTTTCTTCGGGACAATGAAGTACGGGCTGTAGAAGCCGGTCCTAATTTCGGCTGGAGGGACAGTCTCGATCGCACCCTTCGCCAGCAGGGTGGCAACCTCCGCTCTCATGATAGGGGTATTGCCACCGACCATAGTGGAGCGGACTCCCCTGAAGCGGGGAGGAGACCGCGCGAACTGAATCGCGTAGCCGAGCCTGATCGTTCGCGCGACCCAGCGGGACAGGTTGGGAAGCTCTAGCCAGGCTCCCAAGGACTGTACCAGCGGGGTCATGCGAACCATAGACTTCCCGTCGGTGGAGCAGCGAGGTGGTATGGCTGACCCAGACGTGGACGGCATAGCGGCCCGGTGTGGTAGTACAGCCATAGACCGCGTCCTGACAGAGGAGACCAGGGAAGGACGAACGTTCCACGGGGGTCTGCTCTGGCAGGGGTCTGGCGACAGAGGAGGATGAGAGCGGCACGGTCCGGGGACGGCGCGCACTATCATCCGGTTCTGGGACAGAGGAGGACGAGGGGTGCACGGCCCGGGGGCGGCGCACCGTGTCGTCCGAGAACTCTGTTCGCTCAGGGATGAATGTGTCACTTCTTTCTTTAACCACATAAGGGTGCTGCCCACCCGAGGGTGAGCAGCGGGGAGTGGAGAACAAAAGATTCTCCCCCGGCCCTCCACCGGGGGAAGGAGTGGTCCTGCTACCACCTCCTGAGAAGTGAACATCATCCCTGAGCAGCCCGTCTCAGGAGCGCCGCTTGGCCCGGCGTTTAGCGGGGGGCGGGGCTGGAGAGGGCTGGGGCGCCTTCTTACGGCTTCCTCCGCGACCGGGCCCAGGTGGAGGCTGCTGCTTGGGCCGGGCGGGAGGGGCGGGAGCCGTAGGAGGGCGCCCTCGGCGGCGAACAGACTGAGTATTCTGCCCGGTCGGCTGGGTGGAGGCAGCAGCGGGCCGTCGGGGCAGAATGTGCTTGATAGCCTCAGTCTGTTTCTGAGCAGTCGAGAACTGTTGGGCAAAATCCTCGACTGCACCGCCGAAAAGGCCGTCTTGTGATATGGGGGTGTCGAGCAGCCGAGACCGCTCGGCATCCCGCTTATAAGCAAGGTTCAGCCAGAGGTGTCTCTCCTGGACCACGGCTGTGGACATCACCAAACCCAGGGAGCGTGCGGTCACCTTCGTCGCTCGGAATGCAAGGTCGGTGGCAGCGCGCAGCTCATTGAAGAGCATCTGGGCATCTGGGCCTGGTAGACCTGCAGAATGGCCATGGCATGCAAAGAGGTGGCTGCCTGTCCCGCCGCTCTGTAAGACTTCGCCACTAACGTAGACGAATACCTACAGGCTTTGGATGGGTGCTTAGGCTCACCACGAGAAGAAGCGCTCTGAGGACACAGTTGCATCGCAACAGAGCGTTCAACCGGGGGGAGCCCAGTGTACCCACGGGCAGCCGCCTCATCGAGGGGAGGAAAGGCGGATGAGATCATCGAGCGGTCACGGGAAGACATGGGGGTCTTCCAGGACTTCGAGATCTCATCATGCACGTCCGGGAAGAAAGGTATTGGGGTTTGACGCGGACGGGGGTCCGCGGCCTTACCCAAGTACCAATCATCCAGCCGCGAGCGCTCAGGACAGGGCGGAGGGGTCCACTCTAACCCGATGCTCGCGGCGGCCCGAGACAGCATTGCCGTCATCTCCGGATCAGACTCTGGCACAACTGTGCTCACACCCGAAGGTGGCAGCTGTGATGAGTCTACACTTCCAGAAGATTCAGACCCACCTTGTGATGCTGCGATAGACATCGCGTCCTCCTCTGGAGCGCCAAAGGAAACCCGCGGGACACCCGAAGACGATCCCGCAGAAATCCCCTGAGCACTCACGGGTTGCAACACTGGAGAGGGTGCGGCTGGGCACGGACTGATAGTCGGCGCTTTGTTCCAAACCGTCACCCTCAGATCACCCTGGCCACCATCCGAAGTACTAGCTCTATTTCTAGAGTCAGTAGATCGGGGTGTGGATGAGGGGACTCTCACTCTTGCGAGATCACTGAGTCTCGATCGTAGTGGTGCGATGGTCATGTTCCCGCAGAGAGAACATGAGTCATCCACGAGCGCTGCTCTAGCGTGATCAATGCCCAAACACACTATGCAACGCTCGTGCCCATCAGAGTCGGCAACGAGTCTACTGCAACCAGAAGTGCACGGGCGAGGCATCTTTAAAAAGACGTGCCGCGTGCAAGCTCTTTTGTGAGAGGAAAGAAACTCTGACTGTGTTGAAGCGCCCGGGGAGAAACACACTCGCTGTCAAACCACAGACAGATAAGCAGGAAGTGCGCGCTCGCCGGAGATCGCCGTCACACCAACACCAGAGAATCTCGCTCGTCTTGAAGAACTGACAGTACAGGAATGGCTTGTGGAACGAAGGATCAACTTGGCTCCGAAGCGAAAACATGCCTATTTGCTGCCAGCGTTCTCCTTAAATACCCACGAGGTGAGGCGGAGTCACGCAATGCAAATTCCGCAGACCCATGGCATTTCTTTGCCATTGGCTCGTTTTGTAGTACTCGAAGTCGATTGGCTTTCTAAGCGAACGGAACTCGGAGTGACAACGAAAGGGAACCTAAACTTCAATGAAAATTAAAAATGTTTTCTTGGCAACCAACTGAAATAAAATAAAATGTTTAAGTAATAAAATGACTAAAACTGAAATAAAAGTAAAGATTAAATAGTATAAAAGATATTAAAGATAAATAGAACTATTGAAAAGAAAAACTAATAAAAACGACAGAACCACGTAACCAAAATTACTAAAACTAAATGATTAATCATCATCATTATCATCATCTGTTTCACCTGTGTTCTGTAAATCAATGTTCATCTGTGGTTGTATTTATTTCCCTTCTGTTCAATCAGTCTTTTTCCGTTCTCTGTTGTATTTTGTGTGTGTGTCTGCGTGTGCGTGCGTGCGTGTGTGTGTGTGCCTACCTTCTGCCTGTCTGTACCAGTTTAAGTTATATTGTTTTCAGTAAAGGCTTTGCTTTGGAACTTTGGACTCTTTATCTCCTTCTTCCTGCACCACACCCTGACAACTGTAACTGTATAAATAATCCTTTCTTTATCTCAGTGCACTATACAATCCTCATGTCAAATTGCCTTGCAAGACACTAGCATAAAATATTGCTTTTACATATAATTATTAAAATATTTAGCTCACCTATTTGTGTGGATGTTCAGAAATATATAAAAAATAATTTATAAATGGACACAGTGATGCTAATCAAAGAATTAATTTGTCAGTTTATTCATTTTAAAAGATAATTATGCACACACAAAACACCAATAATTTATCTCATGTGGTTATCAAAAGACATCTGGCTTCACATTAAGACCTTTTCATTTTTTTTATTTAGTTAATTCATAGATGCATTTTCTTAAGAGACGATTAGCCTATATTTTTGCCGATGCAAAAGTCACCATCATGACTTCTGATTATCATGACACCATCATGTCATAGGATGAAGCAGGTGTGTAACCGAGATTGCTATTGTTAGACCGGATGGATCTCCGCTCAGAAATATCCGATCCAATGATCCTGTCAATTATACCGATATAGTCTATTGAATAATCTTAGTCGTGCACGTTTAAATGCCCAGACTTCATCTGACCTGCACAATGACCGTACAACCAGGCCAAATCTTATACCAAAGTGCATTTACAACAACAACAAGCCTTGAAATTTGTGAAGACAAACATTCCACATTCTATAAAACCCCACAATCATAAGATTAAACAACAAAAGAAAGGAAGTGACAAGTAATATAAAATGAAATAAATGAATAATGAATAAATGATCAAATTATGTAAATCAAATTTTAATAATATGATAAATCAAATAACTACAAAAATGAAAATGGTAGCTCTCTTGAAGTAACACACAAAGGTTATTAAAAATTCTTAGATCCGTCACTATATGGTTGCTAAGGTGTTCAGAGAGATTAGAGTGTTCCTATGCGGTTGCTAGGATGTTCTGCCAGGTGGTTGCTTACTGGCCCAATAGAGTCCACCATCACATCTCCATGATCTTCTGCTTTCTAGGCTCAGGGTTTTTTCACTCGTCTTCCATGCAAAAATGTCTGATCACTTAGCAAAGCAACAGCACTTCACCACTTTGAGTCCCTACTAGGATACACTAGTATGCAACAATCAAAAAATTATTTTAAAAATCCTAAAGATTATTTTGTATGATTATTATTTTAATGTAAAAGTTGGGGGGAAAACATAGTGTCTTCAGTCTTTGGCTTCATTAGTCCTAAAAGCAGCAACTAACAGTGCCGCTATCCTCAGGCTACATCGCACCAGTCAGTCGCAGGGTCCAAGCCCAGGAGCAGGGCATCTGACTGGGGGCCAGCTGGGGCAGATGGACCTTCAGACCTGTGGGACTCATGGACTGCCATGAGACGGACTTATAGCCAAGCAGCACCACCTGATTTGGAAAAGGTTTGAAACAAGAATAAGAACAGTTTTGCTTCAGATGTGAATGCTCTGAAACTTTTTTAAACAGTTCTAAATAATTAAACGAGCCTTCACTCAGCCAGTAAGCCATTTCTGAGAAACTCTGTTGAAAGCAGGTCAGACAGAGCAGCACAACACACTTGTAGCCAATCAACAGCAGGGGGCATGTCACTCATAATGAGGGAGGAGAGAGAGTGTGCCAATCAACAGTAGGAGGTGTGTCTACTCATGATGGGGGAGGAGAGAGTGAGCCAATCAGCAGTAGGAGGCGTGTCTACATGATGGGGGAGGAGAGACAGTGAGCCAATCAGCAGTAAAGGGGTGTGTCACTCATGATGGGGGAGGAGAGATAGTGAGCCAATCAGCATTAGGGGGCATGTCACTCATAATCAGGGAGGAGAGAGAGTGAGCCAATCAGCAGTAGGAGGCGTGTCAACTCACGATGGGGGAGAAGAGAGAGTGAGCTAATCAGCAGTAGGAGGCGTGTCAACTCACGATGGGGAGGAGAGAGAGTGAGCAAGAGGGAGGTTTGAAGAAACACTGTAGAAAGAGAGATGGCTGAGAGACATTACAAAAGAGAAAATGTCAGAGGAAAATCACAGGAAAAAGAAGGCTTATGATCAGGCAAGAGGTTTATGACCTGCGTTAATATTAGAAAAGCTTTCCAGCGCTGGAGAGATCTAAGCGGGAAGGCCTGAAAATGGATGCCGAGGTTCTGTTGTTTCTAGTCTGTATGTGAGTAACACTGGTTTTGCTGTTTCACAGAACCAAGATATACTGTTGTTGTAATGTTAGCTGTAGTAACAGGACAGTTTTGAGTGGCTGATGTGCTGCTGGCGACTAACAAACAACTCTTGCTTGTATTTACTTGTGTATTGTATGTTAATTTTTTGTTCTTCCTTGTTGTTCATTCTTCATCTTCTCTTTATTTTTTTTCGTTCACTCTTGCATTGTGTGTTCTTGCATTCTGGAGGCGGAGCAATGAAGGGAGGGGTGCGTTTGTTTGGGTTGATTTCAAATATCAACAGTGTTTCTTAAGGGTGTCACGATTTCGATTTTAAATTGAAATCGATCGAAATTAAGTCACAATCTCGAACTTCGAATTAAAAAATGGAATCGTCGATGCTGCCACGCCCCCATGTCATGGAAAAAAACACGCGTGTTGAAGTGATGCGAGTCAACCTCCTCTAACTTATCTACAGCCAGTCAAAAGATAGCATGGCAACTGCAGATGCAGGAGACCCATCGACAGAACTTGAACCACCGTCTACTCTTTCATTGAAGTCACCGGTGTGGAAGTATTTTGGATTTCCAGTGAGTTATGTTGTCAGCGTTCGCGCTTCAAAAAAGCCACAGTTTGCAAGCTCTGCTATGTGCGTGTACCACATTCTTCCACTGGCAGCACGACTAACATGGCAGGGCATCTCCACAAAAACATAGATTTATCTGTTAAATCAACAACTGTTTGTTTGTTTTGTGAACTTGAATGTCGTCATCTGCCTGTTTGCGAGGCGGCTTTATGTAGGCCTATGTGCTGTGCAAAGAAAACCATCTCTCAGAGAGCGCGCGAGTACTGAATAGTTTAAAATCGCTTGAATGTTCAAACTGGTAAGACTTAAAAAGATGTGTAAATGGTAAACTTTAGTTACTCACGATGCAATGCTGGCCCGATTATGCAAGTGACAATTCCGTCATGTCACGACTCCCGAAACGTGAGAGCAGCGCGCTTGACAATTGCCTTGTGCAACCCATTTTGAGAGACAGAGAGAGAGAAGACGCGGCACCGCTGAACACTCACGCTGTTTGTGAAATTGCATTTCGCAGACAGTTTAAAATGACTGATTTGATTTTATAATCTGCATATGGCAGGTTATGGCAAAATATGGCAGGTTATTTTGCTTAAGTTTCCAATTGACTAAAGATATAAGGTATTATATTATATTATATTATAAGCACTTTATGTTGTTAATAAATGTTTTAAATTTGACAATGTAGTGTGGTATATTGCGAACAAAGGTCAGATATTATATTGCATAAAAGTATATTCTAAAAATGGCATAACAACCTGTGCTTTTAAAAAGAAAAAATATGTAAAAATCGAGAATCGAATCGAACCGTGACCTTAGAATCGAAAATTCAATCGAATCGAAGATTTGGAGAATCGTGACACCCCTAGTGTTTCTCAGAAATCGCTTACTGCACCTTTAAGTCACTTGCTCAGACATTCCCATAGGAATGAAACGCAGATTTGTGAAACGCAATTGAATGTGCTCAAACAGGATATTTGCATGAAAATGTAACAATTCAAAGTATTTTGTATAGTAATTTGATAAAAACTGCCAAACTGAATAAGAATTAGGACAGACACTACCATTCAAAAGTTTGGGATCAGTAAGATTTTTTATGTTTTTGAAAGAAGTCTCTTCTGCTCGCCAAGGATGCATTAATTTGATCAAAAATACAGTAAAAACAGTGGTATTGTAAAAATACTATTAACATTTAATATAAATTTTTTTTATTGAAACATTTTTTAAATGTAATTTATTCCTGTGATGCAAAGCTGAATTTTCAGCATCATTACTCCAGTGTTCAGTGTCACATGATCCTTTAGAAAGCATTCTAATATGCTGATTTGCTGCTCAAGAAACATTTCTGGTTATTATCAAACAGTGCAGCTTCATATTTATGTGGAAACCGTGACACATTTTTTTTAGGATTCTTTGATGAAGAGAAATTTCCAAAGAACCGAATTTGAATTAAAAACTGTTAAAACATTATAAATGTCTTTACTGTCACTTTTGATCAATTCAAAATGATTAATTTCTTTTTTTTTTTTTACTTTTGAACTTTCGTGTACATGGAAAAAAGAAGATCATCTGATGAGATGGCAACAGCTGCTATTGACCCTGGACCACAAAACCAGTCACATGGGTCAATGTTTTGAAATTGAGATTTCAGAGATACATCATCTAAAAGCTGAATAAATAAACTTTTTTATTGATGTATGGTTTCTTAGGATAGGACAATATTTGGCCGAGATACAAATATTTAAACATCTGGAATCTGAGGGTGCAAAAAAATCGAAAAATAGAGAAAATTGCCTTTAAATTTGTCCATTTATGTTCCCGATTGGTCTGCATTCACTCACAAAAATAAATGTTATATATATTTAAGGTAGGAAATTTACTAAATATCTTCATGGAAGATGATCTTTACTTAATATCCTAATGATTTTTGGCATACAAGAAAAATCAATAATTTTGACCCATACAATGTATTGTTAGCTATTGCCACAAATATACCCGTGCTACTTGTGACTGGTTTTGTGATCCAGGGTCGCTAGCGTTTTAAAGCCGGGCTTTACAAACAATCAATTATTCAATAAGAATCTTCTTTTATATACAATTTCTACAATATACATCACCTGAGTCTTGGACGGTGACACAATGGGGTCGTTCAGAACAATGAACCCATCAGAGGGCCATGAAAGAAAAATAGCATAGGTTGCGTTCTCCTTCGGATTCGATGTATACCTGTCAGGACAAAACAAAATTATACTTTGATTTAAAAGCAAATAAAGGTGAAAGAGATTAAACGGAAGAAGAGAGAAACAGAGGCAAAGAAACAAAGCCTTTTGCGTAGCACGTTACTGTACATGATTGAGAATTCATAAGGTAACTGACCAAACTCCAGGAGTGACAGTGTCGTTCTGAACTCTCCATGCGCTGCTGTTGTAAATGGCTTCTCCGTTCACCTGAAGCCACTGACCAATCTGCCGCAGACGCTCCTCAAATATGGGCACGATGCGGCCGTCGTGTGTGGGGCCAACGTTCAACAGCAGATTCCCCCCACAGGACACGGTCTCCACGAGACTCTGTAAGACAAACAGAGGACTTCTAAATGCTCACTGCATATATATACACTACCGTTCAAAAGTTTGGGCCCAGTAAAATGTACTTTTAAGAAGACGGGATGCATTAAATTGATTCAAAGGGACAGTAAATACATTTATAATGTTACAAAAGATTTCGATTTCAAATAAACGCAGTTCTTTTGAACTTTCTGTTCTTCAAAATATTCATCCTGACAGAATTTGACTAATTTTCATTTTTGCGTGAACTATCCCTATAAGCAGTGTACATGCAGCGTATGCACTCTATAGGCGTGTTTTTTTGTTGTTGTGGTTTTTGAAGTGAAGGACAAACTCGATAATGTCAGATTGCACATCGATAAAACCGTGTCAGAGCGAATGAATGTAAAACTCACTTGTATCAGATGTTCGGTGGTGAGGTAATCACTGAGTTTGGCCTCTCTCCTGTAGCCCCATGACCTCTGGTCAATGGACAAGCAGTTCTCCCACTTGTGCTTCACCAGGTGTCCTGGGTTGTACCGATCCGTGCAGGTGTAATATCCGCCATGTTTACATATGCTGCCATATCCCCATCGGTCATTGGTCACAACAGTGTCACGTACAGGGCTGAAAACACACATTTGCCATCAGTTAAGCTACATGACTTTGTATAGACAGTTCTAGTATGCAACTTGTTTGGTTCTCTACAGTGTTATTTTGAAATGAAATCAAAGTTAAAGTCTTTAGTCTATGTCTGATAGCTTTGAGTTTATCTAGACACTAGTGTATTTCAAAACATTGACATATAATCAATAATCGTTTAGGAGAAAAATGCTATTGTTATGAGGTAAATTGGAATCTTTTGATTGAGGCGATCATTGGGGCAAGGTTTAGCTGGTTAAAAAAGTGAGCCCCTGCTGGTGGATGCAGCAATTACACTATTCTGTTACCAAAAAGCATTGACGGCCATTCAAAAGCCGCCGTGTATTCTAACAAAATAAAAAAGAATGGCAAACAGTATGAAAATCACAACATTTTAAAACCCTATAGTAGATGGTGGTCGTTGGTCATTTTAAAAATTGTAATTTTTTTATTAAACTTTAATTTTTTTTACTTCATCTGAATGAAACGAAACTTGGTGACGTTTGTGCCACTTGCTAAATTCTGGACATGATTAGATAAGGATGAATGGTCTTGAATAAAAACTGTCATACTTGTGATCTTTGTGTATGAAAATGAAATGAACAGGAAATATATATTTTAAAAAAAGGAGGTACAATCTACAGCCACAATGAAGTAGCCTGTGTACACACACACACACATATATATATATATATAAAAATTTAGGGGTGTAACAGGGGTGTAGTAATTATATTTAAATAATAGTAATTAAAAAATATGATTTTTTTTCTAATCTTTTTATTATTTGAATAAATACATAATATTAAAGAATAAATATTATTGAAAATAATTCAACCGATTTTGTAATACAGTACATTCATTTAATTTAAATTCTGAATGTAATTTGTTGAGCATCACAAGTGTGTCCCTTAAGGGATGAAATGGACGTTGCATTTGATATTTTTTTCTCCTTTGGACCTCCTGGTTTCTTGGTTTGTAATCATGACACTCATGTTAAGGTGTCCTTACCTCTCGTTATAGAGCCAGGCGAGGAACCCTGTGCTGTTCCAGTAGTTGTCAGGCGCATCTCCGTCACCATCAGACCACAGTAATTCAGGTTTGAACTTGTTGATTATCTCGTACAGCTCGGGCAGGGTCTTGGTAGTAGGGAACACATTGGTTTTGTAGTGGTTGTCAGCATCGGCTCTGTACAGAGGGTTAAACCACTCAAACAAGGAGTGGTAAAGCCCCAGACGCAAATCACTGTGTTTCCGCAAAGCAGTGGCGATCTCATCCACCAGATCCCGCTTCGGCCCAACCGCCACGGCGTTCCAGTTCCACGAGTACTTTGAGCCCCACATTGTAAAGCCTGAGGAATTGAAACACAGGAATGAATAACAATTTACAGTAAGGTTCATTTGTTAACATTAGTTAATAATGTATTAACTAACTATGAGCAATCCATTTGTTACTGTATTTGTTAATCTTTGTTAACGTCAGTTAAAAAAAAATACAGCTGTTCATTGTTAGGTCATGTTAGTTCACAGTGCATTAACTAATGTTAACAAGATTTTAATAAAGTATTAGTAAATGTTGAAATTAACATTAACAAAGATTAATAAATGCTGTATACGTTCAGTTCGTTATAAGCTAATGTAGTTAACTAATGTTGACTAACAAAACCTTATTGTAAAGTGTTAACCTATTAACCTTAGTTAGTTCATCTCAACATTTATTAATACATTATTCAAATCAAAAGTTATATATGTGAATGCACTGTGAATGACATAAATGTCACTAGAAATGACATAAAAAGTGAAAAAACGTTGGTCAAAAACGCATTTACACAAACTTTTACCTCCAACCACAACTTTCAGGTGCCATCTTTATTTTTACTTGGATAAAATCTGCTTTTGTATTTTGAAATTGTACTAATAACCACCATAAAACATGGCCCATACTCATATATAGAAAGGGCACAGGGTCATCCACAGGAAGACCATCAGAGTAACACAACTGAAACTAAAATAATGCAATAAACATTAACTAAATAACAGAGAATGCAACACAAAACAGCCTAATGTACAGTACACCACTAATAAACAAAAAAAAGAAGAGGAAACTATTTAAAGAAAATATTATCATACTGTATATGATGTGTCACATAGGGGCTTCTGGAAATGGCATTTTACTATTATTCACTGTAAGTTATTTGTTAAATCATACTGTATACTTGTATATGTAGACCATAGACCATACATTTGACAGTATTTTATAGGAAATACACAGAATGTGATGTAAAACCAATTATATTCAGGTATTTTATAGTTAACCAATTAACCGGTTTTTAGCATGGCATTTTTACAGTATTTTCCATTGTAATTATATAGCATTAAAATAATTAGAGTTGACAGATATGCAAAAACGAAATGCAATGCAGTCGGTGCAGTCATTTTTCACAAACCTTCATGGTGTTTGGTTGTGAGCACAATATATTTGGCTCCAGACGAGGCAAAAATGTCAACCCACTCTACAGGATCAAAGAATTCAGCGTGGAACTGAGATGCAAAGTCTGCGTAGGTGAAGCCAGGTGGATAATTCTGCTTCATAAAGTTAACATAAGATGGGTATTTTTGGCCCTGCCAGTACCACCTGTTGGAAAAAAACAAAACTATTAAGCACAATTAACCTCAAATATATGAATACAAAAACATTGTCATAAAGTGACCAGCCATTTAACTTCTTGATTAAAGAAAATAAAGCTTACTTTTTAGAACGATTTGGATTATTTGCATTTCAGATATAATTTTTGTAATGTATAAGCACATTACTTTTGTAAAGCACATTGTAATGTATAAAAAAATCGAAATCTTATTACTGAAATGAGAATAAAAAATAAAAAAAGATTTACAGTAAAATACAGTATTTTTTTGCTATATAACTTAAAAGTAAAATGTCTGGTGGAGGGGAAATGTGTTCACATCATGCAATATTTTCATGGAATTAAACATGCGACATATGATCATCTTACAAACATAGGCTTCATTTTCTTTGTATTTTTGGGGTTGACCTGTTTTAATGTTATAAACTCACATTCACTATTGTAGCTTTGTAAGGTATCAGATTGAAGTATCATGGTACTTTGATATACCATGATAAACCATATTGTAGTAATGAATGATTAACATTAATGTACAATGATAATTACATGGTGTTCATGGGTATTTCAAACAATAACATGGTGTTGTACAGCATATGTGCAAAACATCACAATATTGGTAGTGCCATAATACTTTAGGGTACTTTTTATGTTAGTGTCATTCACACTGTATTTGTGCTGCTGATGCTGTTTTGCACTGTGGTAAAGTTGGTTTGACTTTGCACATTAGTTGGCACTCTCTGACCAGATTAAGGGACTGCCATAAAAGTGCATGAAAATAAAAATCATTCAAAGAATCCGAAAATATCATTATTAATAGAATGTAATAGTCTGAATTAGGTGGAGAAGCATGAAAAAAATCACTAGGGGTTGTTCAGTAGATACAGTAACATGGTTATTGCATTGTTTTTATTATTTTCTATGAAGGTGTTTAGCAATGCATTCACATACCCATGCCATATATTTTACACATATTGGATTTGTAAACAAATATAATTTAATGGTTTTTAATGGGTTTTTTTTATTTATTTTTTTATAAAATATTCACATTTATTTAACTTGCCGGTCATGTGACCTGATGATATCACATCAGTTGTAATATCTTCACATATCACATATATCTAACATGACTTGGATTTAGGAAATATCCTGTTGTGTATTTTTAATGATTTTTTTTAAATATTAAAATATATTTTTATTTAATTATTCCTGGTCATGTGACCTGATGTTGGCACCTCCACTGTTTTATATTCATAAACACCTGTCACACATCTTACATGCATCTGTTTTTGGGAACATGTCTGTTGATGTTATATCATTTTTTTGAATGATTTAAAATCCATTTAACTTCCTGGTCATGCGACCTAATGTTGGCACACCCACTGTATTATAAACATCTCTCAAACATCTTACATGCAGTTACATGCATGTGGAAACATGTCCTTGGTGGTTTTATAACATTTTTTTTAAACATTTATAGTTTGATTCAAATTTAACAATAGCATATCACCTGCTATGTTTCACAGAACAAAGAAATGCGTGTTTGTGCATTTTGGAGGCGGCGCAATGAGGGGAGGGGTGTGTTTGTTTAGGTTGATTTCAAATATCAACAGTGTTTCTCAGAAATCGCTTACTGCACCTTTAACATTCCTTATCTAACCGTCTTTTTGAATGAATGCATGGCGCAGAGCACGGTGCACATGGTTCCAGACTGACCAGATTCATATACTGATCTGATCTCGATCGTCGCTGTGTACACTCCAGTCTTATTCAACATCATATTCTTATTTTATGAATTTCTCAGAAAAAAGCCACCAAGGCCTGGACCCACTAAATTCTTCAAACTCAAAGTGCCATGTTAATAGTACAATTGGCTATAGTACTACTACTACCAATACAAATACTTGATAAGCATTTACTTAACATGGTTATTATGAAATTACTTTTATATGAGAAACATCTGACAATATAAACAGGCCTTGTGTGACAACAACAGGTCACATGATAGGGAAGTTAAATAGTTTGAATAAAAAAAAAAATGAGGAAGCTGTATGTTGCAGGTATGTGACAGATCAAGTGAGTTCATGTAGACAACCACATGTGATCTGAAACAATAATGAAGTAGCTTTATGCATTATGTATTATGTATAAATTTATAAATGTGTTATAACTGTTTAAATGCTTAAATTAAATTAAATAACTTCTAAGTATTTTGACATACTGAGGAAGCTTCCTCATTCTAAAAAAAAAAAAAAAAAAATCAACAAAAACACAAAATGATACTTCAACTAATGTGACATCATCAGGTCACAACACCCAAGCAATTTAATTAGCTGCCAAAGACGCTGTCTCTAAGGGACTGTTTACACGACACCGTTTTCAACTAAAAACGTTAAAATTTGTATGAGTTTTGGTCGTTGATTTAAACGACAATGGCGCTTTGGGTGCCTGAAAACGCAAACTTTTGAAAACAGGTTTCAAAGTGAAAGTTTTTGAAAACGGTTTCTGTGTAAAGCTGTAAACAATAAAAACGTGAATCTGTGAAAACGATGACGTCATGCATATGCATTAGGCTACATGTTCAGTCTATAGTGTTTCATCACCATCTAATGGCCTGGCAGCAGAATACAGCGTTTTTAGTCGTTTTCGCGGATCTGTGTGAATGGGAATTGTTTTGTACCCTTATTCACGATGATCAAATGAGAGTTGTTTAAAAATCACATGATGTAGTGTGGTTATTGTACAAAAACTCACATGATCCATCACATATCTCTCAACTGCAAAACAAAACAATAAAAATACCGCAACTGAGTAAGCTTCCTCATTCTGAAAAATAAAATCATCAAAAACGTGCAAAATGATAATACAAAACAGGTGTGATATAATCAGGTCACATGACCCTAGCAATTTAAATAGATTTCAATAATTAATTTTTTTTATAAAGACATTTTCCCAAAAACAAATACATGAAAGATGTGTGAGAGATATTTGTTCATAATACAATGTGTGTGGGTGTGGCAGCATCAGGTCACATGACCAGGAAGTTAAATAGATTTTAATAGTTCAAAGTTAAAAAAAATTCTCTAAAATCAACTAAAATCACACGGTGTAAGATGTGTGGCAAGAGCTAGTGATTAAATTACATGTGGTTTGACATCTGTAGGTCAAAACACTAAGAAGTTAAATAGACTTATTTAGCTAATTTAAGCATTTACTTGCATTAAACAGCTATTGCACATTTATAAATCACACTTCAATTATATAGCTACTTCGTTTTTAACTAAATTAAGTTGAATCGTTGCATAGCATAATTCATGTATTCACAGAAAAATGCCTTGTATCATACACTGTTGAAGGTTTTGCACTTTTGCGACACTCCCCAACTCTGATCTCAGCGCCGAATGTCAAACTAATGTCCAGTATCAAACCAGACGCAGACTTACCAGAACCATTCACTGCCATAGCTGGGAACTGAAAACACTCCCCAGTGAATGAAAATGCCGAATTTGGCTTGATCGAACCATTCCGGTATAGGTCTTGAATCAATTGATTCCCAAGTAGGCTTGTATTGACAAAGACAGCTGCCAATCGAGAGTAAAAAAAGGGACAAAACACCCCAGTGATGCATTGTGCTGCCGCTGTCTCTAATTCACAGCGATCAAATGGGAGTTGTGTCAGATCACATGATGTGCTGTGGTTGTCTACATAACTCACGTGATATACCTGTCAACTGCAAAACAAAACATTTAAAATACAGCTTCCTCATTCAGAAACCTGGAAACAAGCGCCACCACTGCGAAGGCTCGATTTATGAATATTAACTAGGAAACACGACGATCGCCGATGATTGGCTAAAGCAATGCTGGAGGACCTAATTAATATTCATGACATAAACCTTCGCTGTAGTCGGATTCGTCACATCCTGTTCTGTACTAGTTTATAGTGATCCGTGTTGGCTGTGGTTTTCAACCTTTACAGTCTATGTTTTCAACAATCTGAAAATATACATCTATGCAAGGATATATCGACTGTCACTGTCATATTTCTGCCGAGGATTTTGACAGTGTAAGAAAGAAAAATAGTTGCAATGTTTATAATACTATGGAACTGTCTGAGAAGTTCCTTAATGACTGTGTGTTGTGTTTATTTAGGACATTGATGATGTCATTGGAGAGTCTAAAAAGGTACCCCTTTCAATCTATATTCTCTGTCAAATCTGATATCCATCTTAAGAGTGCAGTAATGTTTGTTTTTATTTTTTAGGCTGGGCTTGTTGCCCTTCTTGCTGTAGCAGAGCATGCTGGTGAATTTGAGAAAATTATACAGCTCTCACAAAGGTATATCTTACATATTATCTTGTGTATTATTTTCAGCAAACTCAATATTAAATGCCTTTAATTTCCTATAGGTTCCCTGGATTCATTATGCCTTGTCTCGGAGTTCATCCTGTCCAAGATCCAGCGCAACCCAGAGGAGCCGTACTGGAGGTCTGAAACATATGCGTAAAAGATACATTTATTTTATTTACTGTTTTACAGCTGACACGGTTTCCTTCTTTCTGACCCACAGGATTTAGATGCTGCATTACCGCTGATTGACAAATACAAGGAGCACATTGTGGCTATTGGTGAGGTTAGACATATACTGAATGTCTAACTAGTTGTTATAAGTAGAGAATAGAGTTCTGTAAGATTGTAATCCCTTAAAGAGTTAGTTCACCCAAAAATGAAAATGATGTCATTAATGACTCACCCTCATGTCGTTCCAAGCCCGTAAGACCTCTGTTCATCTTCGGAACACAGTTTAAGATATTTTAGATTTAGTCCGAGAGCTTTCTGTCCCTCCATTGAAAATGTATGTATGGTATACTGTCCTTGTCCAGAAAGGAAATAAAGACGTCATCAAAGTAGTCCATGTGACACCAGTGGGTTAGTTAGAATGTTTTGAAGCATCGAAAATATATTTTGGTCCAAAAATAACAAAAACTACGACTTTATTCAGCATTGTATTGTCTTCCGGTTCTGTTGTCAATCCGCGTTCACGAGTCTGCAGTGACGCTGCTGACGTGTATCTGGTGCGTCCGTGGATTCGGGTTCAAATAAATATGGCTGGGCAAAAAAATGCAAGTCTTCCTCTGTGTCGAAATCCTTAGACATGTTTGCGAAGATTGTTTTGTTTACAGCGTGCGTCTCCCTCAGACTGTAAACGAAGCTCGGGCGCACCAGATAACACGTCAGCAGTGTCTTATGTCAGCGGCGTCACTGAACGCGGATCCACAACAGAACCGGAAGACAATACAATGCTGAATAAAGTCGTAGTTTTTGTTTTTTTGGACCAAAATGTATTTTTCGATGCTTAAAAACATTCTAACTAACCCACTGATGTCACATGGACTACTTTGATGATGTCTGTATTTCCTTTCTGGACAAGGACAGTATACCGTACATACATTTTCAATGGAGGGACAGAAAGCTCTCGGACTAAATCTAAAATATCTTAAACTGTGTTCCGAAGATGAACGGAGGTCTTACGGGCTTGGAACGACATGAGGGTGAGTCATTAATGACATAATTTTCATTTTTGGGTGAACTAACCCTTTAAAGGTAGGGTAGGCAATTTCGGAGAGGCTAGCAATAGCAAGTTAGCTCTGAAAGCACGAGATCCCACCCTCTCTTCACAGCGCTCTCTAAAGCCACGCCTCCTTAAGACGGCATTAAATTACCTCATGTCTCAAAGCAGTGAAAGCACATAATATTACAATCATAATGATTGTAAACAACTTAAAGAGCTTTAGTTGTACCACCTGCAGGATCATATCGTAATTACGGTTATGAGATTGTGTAAACGCAGCATAAGTTCATTGTTTTGGTTCAGGAGGAACTGTAAAAGGCGGCTGCTGTTTGTTTGTGACTGTCTGTCTAAGGCTGCGTCTACATTAAGCCGGATACATTTGAAAACAGCGTTTTTGTTTAAAATCGCTCTCCGTCCACATTGGTGTTTTCAAACGTTTTCCAAAAGTTTCTAATCCACACTGAAACGCCTGAAAACGCTAAATTCACCTTACTGCGCATACGTAAACCCTCACCAAAGCTCACTGAGATGATACAGATGGAAAAATAAATAATAAAGTTATCGCGCAATTCTTCTGGCAGGATCATTTTATTTAGGAAAATATCTCACCATTCACTGATGCGTCCAGGTCGCACTCAGTCACCATATGTTTGGCATAAAATGCTAAAATGCTCTCATGTTTTGCCGCAGGACAGCTAATGCAAATAAACATATTTTAGCAACTGTGTGAAACTGAATAGCACCTAACATGCACAACACCGGTATAAACATAAATATCTATGGGTTCAATATGTGTCACATGACTAAACTTACGTCATCGGTTTTAAATACCTCTGTTTTGAAAGTCAACACTACAACGCGAAAACGGCATTTTCAAATTGATCCACTTTAGAGAGCTTTTTCAAAAAGCTTCGTTTTCATGAATGAAAACGCTCCCTCAGTGTGGACGGAAGGCCAAAACGGAAAGAAAAAGATGAATATGAAACATTCAAAACAAACGAAAACATATTAGTGTGGACAAGGCCTAACTCTGCATAACCTTACGAAACGCGCTGATGACGTGTGATGTTTGCGCGAGCAGGTGCGCAGAGGTATGGAAATACATATGTCGACAGACAGGTGGGACATCCTATCATTGCATTCGGACCGAATGCAATGATTGGACGAACATTTTTTTGGTCCTGAGTCTTCCACAAAAGATATATGTACATGTTTTAATATTTAGACTACTTCTAGTATTATTGATTGCTATGAGGATGAGAAGAGAGTTTAAACAAAAACTGTTCAAAAAAATCGCCTACCTTTTAATGGTTAAAAATTGTTTCACTACTGCATAATGCAATGAGCAGTCCAACATTGTTGGTCAAACTTTTGTTAATGCAGGCAAAAAACAAAGTCATCCTCTTCCAACAATACCTAAATGAACTATTCAGTGTTATGATGTTTTTTATAAATGTTTAAATATGTATCATTACATATAGGTCGGCCTGGATTTCACACCACGTGTAGTCAACAGTGATGCTGGGAAAGACGGACAGAGACAGGTCCTCATTCGACAGGCTGAAATCGCGAAGCAGTTAAATCTGCCTCTGTAAGTGTCACGCTTCTGGCTTTGTATATTTGTGCACATAAAAAATGACATTATGATCGTTCATACAGCAGTGAGTTTTGTCTGTTAGGAATGTACACTCAAGATCTGCTGGAAGACCAACCATCCATCTTTTGAAGGAGCTGGGTATGCATACATACCAAAACATGCATGAAAAACAGTGCTCGCTTATTCATGAATCTGTTGCTTTTCATGATTTCAATCTTGTCTGTTTTCAATAAGGTGTAGAAAATGCACTTCTTCATGCATTTGACGGAAAACCCTCAGTTGCAATGGAGGGTGTGAAAGCTGGTTATTTTTTCTCAATACCTCCATCCATTGTAAGGAGTGATCAGGTAAATATAACCTACTGTTAAAAGGTTTTGTACGGTGGCCGAGAGAGCTCGACGCGCTCCAACTGAAGAAAATACATGCAAAACATCTTCATTAGTTTCACAACACATGTGTGCTCCAAATACTCACAACTCAACCAAATACAGAAACGCGCTGCAAATAGCACAGACCATAGTGACGAACCCGGCAGGGACGTGCTTATTGCTCGTGAGCTTCCCTATGCCCTACTCCCTTCGAAGGGCAGACGGCAGAGCCCTTGAAGTGTGGACTTTGGAGTGAGCAGGGCACTAGTGTGCCATCACGTAGCCGTTTGGAACGCACTTGGCGAAGGGAGCAACAAAAGACAATGTCATTTCCTAATTATTTTCACCTGGGATGTTCCCATGACAGCGCAGCTCTGTGTCCAGACGAATAGCTGTTCTTACGACAGACATTTCGTATTATAGCTGTTAACATAACTGTTGCAAATAAAAATACATTTTCAGTTTTTAAAATACGCGTTATATATCTGTGTGTGAGCGTCTCAACTTTAAAACTTGCCGTATCATCTTAGGACCCTGCATTACCTAACATTTCTTATGAAACTTAAACATAACATGCCAAAATTTGTACAATGTAACTGATGTATAGATTCATATCTTACCCTTATGTTCTTTTTTTTTTTCTTTTTTTTTTTGTATTTGTATTCTTATGACATTGAACATATACATTTTGTATATTGTACAAAAAAAAAAGAAGCATGTAAGCATGTCCTAGCCAGGTTTGTCACTTATTTTGGTCCCCTGGAAACATTTCCATTGTGGTCTTTGCTATTTGCAGTGTGTTTCTGTATTTGGTTGTGTTGTGAGTATGTGGAGCACACATGTGTTGTGAAACTGATGAAGATGTTTTCTTAATTTGCATGTGTTTTTTTCTATTTGCATGTGTTTTCTTAAAGGTGCTCTACGTAACTTTTAGCGGCCTCTAGTGGTGATGTTTCAGATTGCAACCAAATTTTACAAGAGCGCTCGTGCTCGAACTCATAGACAATACCGTCTATTACGCAAATATCTCGGCGAATACTAGACGGATTCGGCGAGCATAATGCAGCTCGTTGGGACCATCTAGTCGAGCTGAAAAGAACCATATAAGTTCCATAGTTTTTGGTGGTGTTTTCGCGGAGATATTAGCAGAAAACCATTGGGCGTGCTGCAAAATTGCGGACGCCGGTGACGTCACGATCTCAGAATAAAAATCGCTCATATCTCTGGAACGCAAAGACCCAGAGAGCTCAAATTCGGGGGAGGAGGTCCCAGGGGAACCCTTGCCCGAACTGCTAGAGTGGCGGGCCTCGGGGATGCCCCCTACCGGATCGCCGTTCGCTGGGACCCCCGATTTCGAACGGCTATAACTCGGGGAGCCGGGCGAGTTGGACCTCGGGGGTGGGCTCGTTCGAAAGGCCCCGTCCAGCACTACGAACGATTAGAGTCTTGGGAATATTGATCAAAGATTGACTGAGATATAAGCCGAAAAACGTGCGCCTTTAACCAGACGTCACTCCCTGACCGTCTACAATAGACTGTATATAAGGAGAGAGGCTCGGGAGCGCGCATGCACGTCACATCCGTTGGATTTCGCGGTAAATCCGACCCGGAGACTTCACATAGAAATAGGAATACTGGCCTTCAGAGGTAATAGCAAAACTCGACAAGCGGATCATTTTAATGTGTGATTACAACCCCTTCACACACAGGCAATAAAAAAAGGATTCATTTTAGTAGAAAAGTTACATAGAGCACCTTTAAGTTGCAGCGCTTTGAGCTCTCTCAGCCATCGTAGTTTGGACTCCTCATGCCAATATTTGCAAGTTCTCTTTACAGTATGTGCTCTGCTAATAGACATACACTCCAAATCAAAAGCTTGAACAATCAAGTATAATTAAACAGTAAAAATGAACAGAAATGTAAATATGAGAATTATGTAGTGACCGAAATGTCAAACACATAAAACCTCTTTTTTTATATTTTTAAATATTTGGGCTTGTTCATTCTCAATCAAATTTGATGAATTTATTTTTTAAAGATTTACAAACATATATATATATATATATATATATATATAATTTATATTTGTCTACAAACTAATTTCAAGCATTTAAGCGAAAGTCTTAATATGAAAATGTTCTTAATATCTTAAGATCTTGTCCAAATGTTGAACTTGTAGTGTATATCTGTTAGTATAATTTACAAAAACACCTCAGTGCATTTATTAGTCACACATCACATGATATCCACGTTTGATAAGAAGCAGAAGCTGGTGAAGCAGGTTCCTCTGGAGAGCATGTGTTTAGAGACGGACGCTCCTGCGCTGGGACCTGAGAAGCAGGTACGGCAGCTTTCAGTTTTTCTGTCATAAACATGATTTGATGTTTATTTACATCTGTGTTTTTACTCTAGGTGAGGAATGTACCAAGGAACATCAGCATTAGTGCCGAATATATCGCCCAAATCAAAGGAATTCCCTTGGAGAAGGTCATAGAGGTCACTAGCCAGAATGCCCTGCGCCTTTTCCCCAAATTAAAAACATTTATCAAAGCTTGACATTAATACCGCACATTGGCAAAGCTGCTTAAAGCTGTCCTTTAAACAAACAAATGTGTATTGTTGAGTAGAAATTAAGATAAAGAAACAAATGGTTTTTTTTTGTTTTGTTTTCCAGAAGACATTTTCATTTATTTGACTGAAAAGTGTAAAGATTATTGGACTGATTAATCATTTGGTTTTTTTTATTCAAGATGTAGCCTATTGTTCGGGGGAATGACTGCAAATGACCACAGTTTTTTGTTGTTGTTGTGATGTCAAAAAAATATTGTATCATTGCTTAAAAGCTGTATTAAAAACGAATACCGTATGGGTCTCAAACCTGTTTATGAAGTCATTGAGCAACAAGTTTACTACAAGCTAATGTAAGCATGTGAAGATTTTTGCAGCATATTTATATGAGAGTCAAAGACAAGATTGTTCATTAGGTAAAAAGAAAGAAATAAAATAAAACAGCAGAACTTGCTTTAACCAATAGATGGCAGAAAATACAATAATATTTGCGTCTCTAATCTAAAAACTGGGGGTCTGTAGTCAGGGTTGCCAAGTTCCGAGGTTTTCCTGCGTAATTGGCCTACTTTAAAACTCTCGCCGCGGATTGATCCCCCCCCCCCCCCCCTTTAGTCTATCTAAATTATATTAGACTAAAAAGTGATAATTCTACCAGTGATAAACTGATCACTACAATATAGGCTAGTGTTCAATAAACTGATCACTACAATATAGGCTAGTGTTCATTTTGCATAACAGGGACTATAAAATATGGGAATGTCACAATTAGGGAATTTAAGTAGCTTTCATAAACGTGCCCGAGAAAAAAAAAAACATTAGGCTACTTACAGTGTTTGCATCTTGAGCTGCAGTCTATGATCTTGAGACATAACAATAGCACTGACATATTTTAAGATATGTCAATGCAAGGTGCTTTCAGTTCAACATGTATTTTAGTCTGGGACTAGGTTAAAGCCTTTCTGTGGAAGCGGATATTTTGATATTTGGGATATGGTCATTGGTCTACTTTTGGCCTATTTTTGATTAGCCTTTGGGCTAGTTTTGTTAGGCAGACTAATTGGCAACCCTGTCCGTAGCGCCTCCTGGAGGAAGAAGCGTTTAGTGAAACCGTTTTTGGCTGCTTGTAACATTTGCTGCTGTTTCAAGATCCTCAGATCACTGTTCCCACACTGTTTCATTGCATGCCATCGTATGTAACGTTATGTTTGGACAGCTCACGGAAACTTAATGGAGTTTGAGCATAGTCTGACTCTGATGTAGTTGTAGCCTATCATAAATGAAGACTTCAGTGAATGTCACCAAGGATTAAAGTAAGTAGTTTTATTGCTTTAAAAACGGCGATCTTGTAGGCGGAAAGCAGAAAGGATCAGAAAGCTTTGTTTGGTCATTTCACTTCACTCACTAATTTGTTTAATGGAGGTTGAACAGGGTTCATTCTGAATCCAATGGAGAATGCATTTAACATTTCTGAATTTAATCTGAACTGCTGTAAAGTGTAGTTTATAGGCATATATGTGTATTATTCAAAATATGAATAAAAACTATAATAGTATCTCAATATAGCAGTGTTTTATATATATTTATACATATATATATACTTTTTTTGTATATATTAGTAATTTTGTGTTTTGCCATTTCTATTATTTTTAAGTGTGTCTGTCTATATAATTTTGTTGTTGTTATATTAGTGCTTCTAAATGAAACTGATTTAAAGGTTTAAGGTTTTAGATTGTATTTAAGTTAAAGTTTATTTTTTAACGGAAGCTCTTTTGTGGTTTAAGTAAAGTTCTAGTATATAACCAAAAGTAATTGTCTGACAGTTCTAATGCTTTTACAGCTCTGAAAGGTAACAATGGCAGCTGAAATGTTATTGATGAGGGGAATCAACAGGTTCAGAAAAGTTACACTCGGAGGTCAAAAACGAGTCCGTTTTAACACGCCTCACCTTAAAGAACAGGTAAGGTTGACAAGCTGCTGTCTGAGTGGATTTTATATCTGCCATGATTTGAAGTCAACATTTCCAAAGCTTCATCTATTCATCCAGACTTAGTTTTTTCCTGCATGCTTGGTTTCAGGAGTATGGCAGCCACCGAAATGCCTCCAGGTTTAGTGGCGTTGTTGAATGTGCCAGAGGTCGTGACAGGTATTTGGGGAGATCTGGACACAGGCTATTTGGAGAGATTCGTCCAGCTCAACAGCACGTCTATGGACAGATCTGTTTATTCCATCAAGATCACAGATATTACAGTGGACTGAAAAGAGAAGGCGTCGACACAACCAAAGATGCCAAAACACCTGATTCCAGAAAACATAAGCAAATGGTACAGCACACTAAACTGTAAATTCTTGTGGGTTACACAGCCCTGATTGAAAGTGTTGAAGTTCAAATATTACAATTATAATTTTATCTTAAAGCAGTGACTATAAAGACACCTTCTCCGGTTATATTTGTTACTGTTGTTTTCTCAGTTAAGTGAGAGTTCCAGAGAGAGAAAAGTGCCGGTCACGAGACTGGGAAGGCTGGTGAACTTTGGAGGTGAGATAACACCCATTATAGTGTGATTGCTGGTTTAATTAGCTCAAAAAAGGCTTTGGCAAATGCAAAATATTTAATTATTCCCACAGGTTTAGCAGTTGGACTGGGCATTGGAGCCATTGCTGAAGTGGCAAAGAAGAGTCTTGCATCTGGAGGTATATCAGGTGGGAAAATGTGGTTGGACATTATGGTTCAATAATTGATTGGCTGTGATTTACAAGTTGGGTTCTTTTATTCCTCTCTCCTCTTTGGCAGGACAGAAAAAAGCAATCCTGGACTCAAACCCGTTCATATCAGAAGCCAATGCTGAAAGGATTGTTCGGACTCTCTGCAAAGTGAGAGGAGCCGCACTTAAACTAGGACAGATGCTCAGCATTCAGGGTGAGAGATTCCTCCAAACACATCTGTCTGTAGAGATAATGAAGATTATTAAAAAAAATTAAATTCAGTGCAAGCTAAATTATTTATTTGAAGTACCCATCAGGGAGGTTTCCTCTGAGGAGGCTACGGTGGCAGTGTCTCCTCAAAGAAATTGGATGAAAAAACAATCGATATTTCAAAAATAAAACAGCGTAAATATAGCAAAATACGACATTTAAAAGTGTATGAATCACTTGTTTTTCTAAAGTAACACTGTCCCACAGCGACACCAGCAGGTAAAGTTACAACGGGACGCCGAGTCTATCGCACTATGATTAGATATGAACAGTTATGATTGGTTCATGTGATTAATCCTGCCTCTTGTTTACGTGCGAGTTCACGAATCGGTCTGAATGAACAAAATGAGGCGTTAATGGGAAGACTAATTAAAACGCCTTAAAACATGATGACTGGTGTGAGCAATTATGTTATTAAAAAATGTAATATTTTATATTACTGCCTTTAGTTATTTTAGAATAAATGTAAAATAGCGTAAAAACACTAACTTGATTAGATTTATGCTTGGTTTTAATAAATAGAAAATTAATTACATTAATTAATTACAAAATAGAATTGAATGAAGGAATTTACATGTGATACACATTTTTTTTTTTTTTTTGTTAAACTGCAAGGACATTTTAAAACACCACTGCACGCGACTATATATATATATCTATTTATTTTATTTTATTTTTTTTTATGAATAAATTCTAGAATGATTTTTTTATTAGAGGTGATTGCTGATCAGTGATTTGGTCTGAAGGGTTTTGGTCATTTGACTTTTGATCAGTAAATAGCAATACCCTGGCAACCCCACACAACTGTTTAACATCATAATGGCACCATTCATTTAAATTTAATTTATCACAATTATTTAAAAATAGGATGGAATATGTGTTGTGTCAAATGCTTGTTTTTACCACTTGTTTTCTTCTCTGATTCGGCAATTACCCTTGCCATTGACCTGTTTGCTATACTGCCACACACAGCAGGGGTTATTCCTGCTAAGAATTTGACACAAACGTCATTCTGAAATATCATTACACCCCTTCCCCTCGACACGGTGTATGGCTGTCTATGTTGCCGTCTGCATTCTGTATCTTTCCACTTGTTAAAAAGGAAAGTAGTTCCAGACAGATAGCTGATAAGGTCACATTAAGTCTCTTTTAATCTGTTGTTGTCTTTTGAAAGGGCAATAATGTATTATGTGCAATGTCATTGAGGTGTATCGTGTGCCATGTCATTGAGGTGGAGGACGCAGCTAGCTGGAATATGTCACGACCCAAAATAAGAAAACCAGCTGGCCACAATAACCATGCAAAGCTTTTTTTAGAGCTTCATGCCATTCATGCTGTAAAAGTACATATTCAAAGTTCATCTATAGCGTGTTTGATTGATCTGCTACACATTGATCTTTGGTTCTGCTCATCTTTTCCTGTCCATAGACGATGCTTTCATCAACCCTCAGCTTGCAAAGATCTTTGACCGTGTTCGACAGAGCGCCGACTTCATGCCCACCAAGCAAATGATGGTATAGCCTCAAATGTGAGAGTTGAAACACAAACAGCTTTTACATCTTAAAGTCAGTGTTGGGGATAATGAGTTACGTAATAAGATTACATTTTTCAAGTAATAAGTAACAGATTACTTTTAAATTTACAACAAAATATATGAGTTACTTTTTCAAATACATGTATATAACACAAGTTACTGTAGTTCTAGAACAAATGTGAGCATGCATTTACTCATCTTATTTGCACAAAAGCATTCACTATTCCTCAAAATTAATACTATACTTTATGTATTTAATCTCACTTTATTAACCAAAGGATTTGCTGCTGACCTTCGATGATCCAATTCAACCATACCAATAAGCAAAAATGACTTTACATAATGTATGTAAATAGAACTTTGTGAACTTTCTTCTCCTGCGTCATTTCACTACAGATTTTTTTCTTCTTCTTCTTCTAATTATTATTGTACTAATTTCACTTTGGTGTGAAAGGTCCCATAGCAGAACGTTTTTTTTTTTTTGTTGTTATTAAAAAACAAACAACCAAGTCCAGCCCAGGTGAGAAAAAGTAACGCAAAAGTAATGTAACGCATTACTTTCCATAAGAAGTAACTAAGTAATCCAATTAGTTACTTTTTAGGGAGTAATGCAATATTGTAATGCATTACTTTTAAAAGTAACTTTCCCCAACACTGCTTAAAGTCGACATTAAAAAACATTTGCAAGTTATTTCATGTCTGTAATTTGAACTGTTTTGCTGTTGAGCTGAAATTAGAAAGTTATTAAAGCGATCCAAAAATTAAAGTTCTGTCATCATTTACTCACCCTCAAGTTGTTGTAAACCTGTATGAGTTTCTTTCTTCTGCTGAACACGAAAGAAGATATTTTGAAGAATGTTGGTAACCAAACAGTTGATGGACCTCATTGACTTCAATAGTATTTTTTGTTTTTTCAATACTAAGGAAGTCAATGGCTACCATTAATTGTTTGGTTACCAACATTCTTCAAAATATTTTGTTTTGTGTTCACATACAGGTTTGGAACAACTTGTAAGTAATGATAAAAAGTCATGTTTTTAGGGTGAACTATCCCTTTAAGAAAGATAATCAATTAATGACTTTTAAGGCTACGTCTACATTAATCCAGATACATTTGAAAATGGCGTTTTTAAAACGCTCTCCGTCCACACTATTAAATTATTACATTTCTGTACCTGTAAAACCTGAAAAGCACTGTTTATTTTATTTGTATCTTTGTTATATTATATGTATTTGTGCTTTTTGCTTGTAATTTGATTATTTGTTCTTATTTTATTACTGACTGTTTACTTGTCTTTAATAATGTTTTAAATTTATATTAGGCTTGTATTTTCTGAATTTTCACTGGTATCTAAAATTTTAGTGTTGCAACTGTTTTTTGTCTCATGGCCGGCAAAATGTTAGTTTTAGGCCCTGGTAAAAATAGCTCACTGAGATGATACAGAGAGACCAGACATAATAAAGTTCTCACTTTGTTCTTCTGGCACAATAATTTTATTAGCGTGTGTTTATCATTGGGACAGAAAACGGTGGTCAGTGATCTGGGTCCGAACTGGCAGGATAAACTAGAGTACTTTGAGGAGCGTCCGTTCGCAGCGGCCTCCATCGGTCAGGTTCACCTGGCCAGAATGAAGGACGGCAGAGAAGTGGCCATGAAAATCCAGGTTCGAGAGCTGCTTTTGTTTCGTAGTGTTTCACATGTTTGTGCTGCTAGTTCTAGGCATTGATTAATTGAACATTATTATGTGCTGTCAGTATCCAGGAGTGGCCAAAAGTATAAACAGCGACGTGAACAACCTAATGACACTCCTCAGTATCAGCAATGCTTTACCTGAAGGTATGAATTACGTTGTGTCACAATGCTTTTGATTTCAGTTCTACTGTAACCGTGTCTGTCGTTCTGTTCGCGTGAAGGTTTGTTTCCTGAGCATCTCATAGAGGTCATGAGCAGGGAATTGGCTTTGGAGTGTGATTATGTACGGGAAGCCAAATGTGCCAAGAAATTCCAGTGAGTATTTGAATAACTAGATCCAAAATGTGGACCATATCTTAGCATGGTTCATTTGATATTTAAATGAGACTCAAATGAGATTTCATACTCAAAGGTTAGGCTGTAATTTTAGTATTATTTAAATGCTATAATAATACTTCTTTTTTTTTTTCATTTTGGTTAAGTTTATGCTTTTTTCATTTTTTTTTATTTCTATTTAGCTTTATTTTTATTTCATTATAGTTTTAATCATTTTAGTATTTCAACTTAAATTTAATTTATTTTAGTTAGTTACAACATTTCTAATATGTGTTTTAAAAATTATTTAAAAAAATGTAATTAACAAAAACTGTTTATAATATTTTTAGTTATTTATTAGAACAACACTGATTCTCAGATAGGAACTATGAACTGTATTTCATTATAGAGCTAGATATCATAAATGATTATAAATAATACCAATGTGTAAGATTAGTTTAAAAATATGCAAATGCATCATGTTAGATTTAGTGTTTCTGGAACGTTCTATAATATATTGTTTATGTACAGTACAATATTTCTTCTGTGGCACAGGTGTAACATTCTGTGTGTGTTATCATTACAGGGAGTTACTGAAGGGCCATCCTTATTTCTACGTGCCAAATGTTGTGGACGAACTGAGCAGCCAGCACGTCCTCACCACGGAGCTGGTGTCCGGTTTCCCTTTGGATAAAGCCGATGACCTGCCACAGGAACTCAAGAACGAGGTGAAGCCGGCCACACATGCTTCCAGACTGATGTAGTCTTTAAAAAGGTATTTTTGTAGTCCCGAACATTCAAAATGTTCATCTCTGCTCTTTGTCAGATCTGTGAGCAGATTCTGACTCTGTGTTTGCGTGAACTCTTTGAGTTTCGATACATGCAGACGGATCCCAACTGGTCCAATTTCTTCTTTGACCCACAAACACACAAGGTATTTCTCTGTTTTCATTGTATATCTGGAATCGTCTAATCTGAATTGTTTTAATTGCAATTAATATTGTCTGTAATTTATATGCAGGTTGCTCTGTTAGACTTTGGAGCCACTAGAGGTTTTGATGCGAGCTTCACTGACGTCTATATTGAGGTAACACTGTAAACTTTACATTCTGCGTATTTAAAAAAAAAAAATTGCTTCACATTTAAATTTGTGACAATTCTTGAATCATTTCTTGATCAGATTATCAAGGCTGCTGCAGACAGGAACAGAGAGGGAGTTTTAAGACGGTCGATTGATATGAACTTTCTGACCGGATACGAGTCAAAGGTACAGTAATTCAGTCCAAAGAGCCCACAGACCTAAAAATAACATGTTTCACCTGCCCAAAAACTCTATGATGGTTTTGGATGCATCACCACAAACATTTTGTAGCTTGTTTGAGAGAATCTACGTATTTGCATAGCAAACACTGAACGTTCATAAGTGAGAATTTTCAAGAAACGGCTGAAGACTCATCTTTTTCGGCAACACTTGTTCCATTAATACTAACACTTTCTTTTATCTTCTACTCTATATCTAGTTTTTAAAAAAACATTATATACTGCATTAGACCAAACTGGGAAGCGTCAAAGCACTTACACATAGTTGTCCTATTGTTAGTTTAAATGCTTCTATTGCTCTCCTCATTTGTAAGTTGCTTTGGATAAAAGCGTCTGCTAAATGTAAATGTAAAGTGGGAATGCAATTGACCCCATATTCACAGGAACTTTACATAATTACACAACAAAGTAGTAAAATATTGTATTAATTGAAATAAATTGTTATTATTAAATTACCATTATTTGAATTATTAAATTATTAAAACAAATACCAAGTACAGTCATGAAACTCTTCCATGCAGCTGATTGGCTGTCTCGTCGCCGGCTCTGCAGACAATCAATCGCTTCTTCCTGACTACACTCACGTTTATTTTTCCGACCCGACTAGATGGAGCTCAGTTCTGCCTCCCTCCTCCCCAGCACCACCTGTCTAGATTTGTATGGGGTTCTTCTTTATCTTGCAGCAGCATAACCAAACCTATTTTTATTTACATTTATATTTCTCATTAACAAAATCTATTACAAACTATCCCGAGAGTTGTCATGACTCATGACTGAAATGTTAATTTTCTAAATCTTAAAGTCCCCCTGTATTCAATAATTTTATCCCTAAGGCAGCTGCCTTCTAACAATCATCAGAAACGCTTTGAACAACTCAGAACGTCAGTGGAGAAAGGCATATAGTATCGTAATATACAGGTCCTTCTAAAAAAATTAGCATATTGTGATAAAGTTCATTATTTTCCATAATGTAATGATAAAAATTTAACTTTCATATATTTTAGATTCATTGCACACCAACTGAAATATTTCAGGTCTTTTATTGTTTTAATACTGATGATTTTGGCATACAGCTCATGAAAACCCAAAATTCCTGTCTCAAAAAATTAGCATATTTCATCCGACCAATAAAAGAAGTGTTTTTAATACAACAAAAAAAAGTCAACCTTCAAATAATTATGTTCAGTTATGCACTCAATAGTCAATACATGGTCGGGAATCCTTTTGCAGAAATGACTGCTTCAATGCGGCGTGGCATGGAGGCAATCAGCCTGTGGCACTGCTGAGGTGTTATGGAGGCCCAGGATGCTTCGATAGCGGCCTTAACCCTCTGGGGTCCAAGGTGTTTTTGGGGTCCTTGAGATGTTTTGACATACTCTGACATTTGTGCTTTTTTCAGTTGCTTATAAACATATTACTGGCAAAGGTGTAATTACACTCTATTTAGCACACACAGGGCTACCATAATGTGTTATCAACATGTATGTACATTTTTGTATTTTTGAGAGAATATTGTTTATGCGTGGTTATTGAAAAAACTAAAACTTAAAGTTTCTGAAATAAGGCCACAAAACACATACTAAATATGTGTCCACAAGACTTTTGACTAATGGATGTTGTGGCCTAGAGTTTTTTCTTCAAAATGATCTGAAAATCATCCTGCCTTATCATTCACATAACACAATAGATTGTTTTAAATTGTGAAAAACATTTTTTTGTTTGCAAAGGCAATATGCGGATGGGCGGATCGGCCCAACCCCCTCATGAATAATTAGGCAGTTCTCGCCTGAGCAGACTGCATACTAATGAGCCTTTCATTCAGGGGTGTCACACAAGAAAGAATGCAAGGACAATATATATATAAATAAATAAATATTTATATACACACACACACACACACACACACACACACATATATATATATATATATATATGTGTGTGTGTGTGTATATAAATATTTATTTATTTATATATATATATTGTCCTTGCATTCTTTCTTGTGTGACACCCCTGAATGAAAGGCTCATTAGTATATATATATATATACAAACAATCAAAATATAAATGAAAGCCAAAAGCACATTTTTAGTCACACCTTTTAGCCATCCACATACCATTTTTAGCCATCCACCGCGGTAAAAATAAACCAGTCGCATTTCAAAGTCGTACGCGAAATGACCGCCAGGTGGCGCAAAGGGACATTTAGCAAAACGTAAGTGGGGCTAATGTCTATTAACAGTAGCCTAAGGATGAAATACTACAAGTTATGGTAATTTCCAAATAAGCCTACAACAAATTGTTGGTCATACAGATAAGATATAATCTTTTAAAACTGTAAAAGGCTAAAGTAGGCCTACACTCACAGGCTAAAGACAAAACGTTTTCTCGCTCATGTGAGAATCAAACGTTTGGTTATTTCTCAGTAACAAAATTCATAGCCGAGCGGTAGAACTGACGGTTCATCATCAAGATGACACAGGTTCAAATCCCGCACAAACATGGTCTGCTGTATATTTTATATTTATTATTGCAGAGAGATTTGTCTAGCTCTAAAACTCTGTTACACCATACAGTTTTGTTTTATATAGGCTATATATATTTTTTATTTATTTATTCCAGGCTCTCACGCCACACCCCCGATTTCTCACGCTGAAGTGTCAACCCGGTCGGTCAAATTCCTGAAAGATATAGTTTATCTATAGATCTACCTGTTGAGCCACTCGTGATCGACTAGTTATACCGCAAATTAGTTAAAATATCCCGTAATCTATTTAGAGCGAGCGTGCATGCGAGACAGATATTGTGCTCCAAACCGTGCGCGCGCATGGCAGAGAGGTCTGTTCCCTACAACCTAGAGTTTTTAAAAACATGGTTTTAAGTAAAGTGTGATTTGCCAGGGGGGACTGGGATTTCCTTCTGGTCTAAACATCCCTACTTCTGCTGAATTATTTTAATCCCCACACCCCTCCCTCCACAGCTAATCAATGCTATAGGCTACTTCACCAATATCAAATATATAAAATAGAGATATGCAACAGGCACGTTTAAACGAAAAACAATAAAATCAAAACCAGCGTTTCAGTTGTTCATTAGTTCCAGTGGCCTTAATGCATGCACGGCTTTTCAAAATTTCACAAAGCGTGTTGAGATTATTTTGAATGAAATATTGAAGTTTATAATTAAGTGTTTTGGCACACCACGCCGAGTGACCCTATGCATTTTTCTAAAGTCGGGTTTTATTCTGGCATCGTGAGTTAGTGTTCGACAAACGCGGCGGAGCGTTCATTTAGATTAATTTATTTATCTCATTATTACAGCTAAAATAACTTAATAGGCGACTCCGTAATTTTTTGGTCATACAGATAAGAGTAGAGTAGCTTACATCGTTCAAAACTGTAAACTTGTATTCATATTAGGCTAACGACAAAAACAGTATATCTGTCCTCTCTGTCTCCGGGAACTGCGCATCACAAAAATGAACCGAAAGCCACTTCAGCTCAGTCACGATAAGAAATCGGCTATGTCTAAAGCCTTTAAATGTCTAAATATTTAGGCTAATAAATGTTATCTGATTATGTAGGCTAATCCATATGAAAACGAGAGGTACAAAGGATCTACTCAAACATGCGCTTCCCAATGAGAAAATTACAAGACATGGGTGAAAATCTCGCTCTAATTAAATGTAGGCTAAATCGCCCTGAATTAAAATGTAAAAACATAATAATGTATTTGTCGAAATGTTGCGATATTGTTTCATTTAAGTTCATAATTATTCTATAAATGTTATTTAATTTAGCAGCATTACCACGAAGCACCGTGTTTCGATATTTATTTGAATAATACAAAATAAAATAAAAACTTAATTCACAAATTGCATGCCTGGTTGTAAGGATCCAAAGATCCCTGTAGACTTTAATATTAAGTTGAACATTTTGTTCATGACAACAAATTAACAAGCGTTTTTTCAGATTATATTTAGTTTTGCTTGGAAAAAGCTGCCCCAAACCAGTTTTATTTCATCAATTATTGAAATAATGAAATATTTAGTAATAAACTTTTATGACAGAAATATCACTAGGCTACATGTAACTTAAATCATTTAATTCCTTCATTATCAACACTGTCTAGAATAGCGATTTAAGTGTGAATTGCGACTTCTCTTTGTGTTAAGTCAGCCTCAGACTCCGATAGCCTGTGGGGGGTTGGAGGGACAGTTGCTGAACAAAGGTGTTAATGTTCCTCTTTCACATGGAGAGTGTCGGATAGCCAGCCTGATGAGCAGGCAAAATTATTGTAAGGATAAATCTGTGTCCAAATGTAGGCCCCATATCTTATTAAATTATAAATATTGTAGTTTATTTATTGTAGCCTATTTAAAGTTTTTTTCACACAAAATTTCAATTGAAGTTATTGTAAGGTGAATTCAACAAGGCATGCTGTGTCTTTGAAGCAACAATTAAAGGTTAAATAATTTTTTCGTGATTTGTATGGCTGACACGCAGCGACATATACAGTATTATCAGCTGTATGATGTGTTTTTACCCTGAAATTATTAATTTCGAGAGAGAGACCCGCGCGCGCAGCGAGGGAGACTAAATAAACTTGTTAAAAAGAGATCCAGCGCGAGAGAGGCAAAGAGAAACGCATGTTTTTAATTTAATTATGTTTCTTTGGACAATTTTCGTTTTGTAGGCCTACTGTTTTAATTGTTTAATTTAGCTGTAATTTCTTTGGCAATACAAATTTAAAATGTCGCAAGAATAAGATTAGCCTAGTGTTTCTTATTTTGCATCGCAAAAGAAATAAACTCTAAACAAGATGCAACCCTGTTTTAAATTAAACAATTTAAACCTTGAAATGTTCGAACTTGGTTTCAAACTTAAGTAATTTTAGTGTTCTTTTACATTACACAATAATTTAGCAGACTAAAGACGAGCTTCTTCATTTTCATTTTCTGATCGGCTGACAATCTTCCTTCATCAGTTTTTGTCGTTTGTGCAGCGGCTGCGGTTCTACAGGAATGTAGCAAATTTATGTTGTAATGATAATCAAACAAAACTCTTGACTTTAAATAAGTAAACAGATATAAACAGTTACCTATTTAAGCATCAAGGTGGGAAAATATAAACGTAGGACAACATCGGTTAACAACATGTATGCTACATTGAGATTCGATCTCGGGTCTGTTGAAGCTCCTCGAAGCTCGTGTTGTTGCGTTGATCACTGAGCTGTCTTCTGTACGCTGTTAAAGTTGTAAAGCCTCATTCATGTAGCCTAAATGTTTTTATTGCAATGTTTTATGTTGAAATGTTTTAATTATTTATTTAATTACATTTCAGTAGCCTAATTTCAGTATTGTGATTATGAATTATTTTAACTACGTTTCACTTGTTGAATTCTTCTGCTACCAGCTTTCAATCGCTCTGAATGAGCCGCGGTGTGGCAGCAGATTACGCATTAGAGAGAATAAACCGGAATAAACGAACACTTTTCAGAGTCTATGATTGTAGCGCCTCTTAGCGGTAAAAGGCAGCAAATACACCACACATTTTACCGCCGCGGTGGAACAGCTGATGTGGGCATTGTCATGGCTTGCCTCGACATTTGCTTTTGAATAGCGCGCGTCCTCCGTGGGCGTGTCAGATTAACGCGTAATGAAGTGTAATGAGCTGGGGGAAAAAATACTGACAGCACTCTCTTTTCATACAGATTGCATAAACTGAGAATATTTGTTTTTTATATAAATTACTTCATTTAAAAGAAGAGAATTTAAGCTTCACAAAGAAAAACCTCTCGTGCCTGTGTGACAAGTAATCGCGGAGTTACAGTTAATCTTAGGACGCGTTTCAGAATGGACTTCACTGACAGAGAGAACGCAGAACTCGCATCATGTTTGTTTTTCTTTATTTGGTGAAAAGCACAACACTTTGTTTTTATTGTGAGTATCCACAAAAAAAATAGAAACTTAACAGGATCTAATGATGTACAACACTTATATGTAAGATCAAAATTAACAGAGTAATTTGAGTCTCTTTTGCACTGATAAGGAAAAAAGTGAGCTGGTATCGCCGGCGAGACCGCCGACCCCAGAGAGTTAAGCTCATCCAGAGTGTTGGGTCTTGCGTCTCTCAACTTTCTCTTCACAATATCCCACAGATTCTCTATGGGGTTCAGGTCAGGAGAGCTGGCAGGCCAATTGAGCACAGTAATACCATGGTCAGTAAACCATTTACCAGTGGTTTTGGCACTGTGAGCACGTGCCAGGTCGTGCTGAAAAATGAAATCTTCATCTCCATAAAGCTTTTCAGCAGATGGAAGCATGAAGTGCTCCAAAATCTCCTGATAGCTAGCTGCATTGACCCTGCCCTTGATAAAACACAGTGCACCAACACCAGCAGCTGACATGGCACCCCAGACCATCACTGACTGTGGCTACTTGACACAGGACTTCAGGCATTTTGGCATTTCCTTCTCCCCAGTCTTCCTCCAGACTCTGGCACCTTGATTTCCGAATGACATGCAAAACTGAGCAACAGTCCAGTGCTGCTTCTCTGTAGCCCAGGTCAGGCGCTTCTGCCGCTGTTTCTGGTTCAAAAGTGGCTTGACCTGGGGAATGCGGCACCTGTTGCCCATTTCCTGCACACGCCTGTGCACGGTGGCTCTGGATGTTTCTACTCCAGACTCAGTCCACTGCTTCCGCAGGTCCCCCAAGGTCTGGAATCGGCCCTTCTCCACAATCTTCCTCAGGGTCCGGTCACCTCTTCTCGTTGTGCAGCGTTTTTTGCCACACTTTTTCCTTCCCACAGACTTCCCACTGAGGTGCCTTGATACAGCACTCTGGGAACAGCCTATTTGTTCAGAAATTTCTTTCTGTCTTACCCTCTTGCTTGAGGGTGTCAATGATGGCCTTCTGGACAGCAGTCAGGTCGGCAGTCTTACCCATGATTGCAGTTTTGAGTAATGAAACAGGCTGGGAGTTTTTAAAAGCCTCAGGAATCTTTTGCAGGTGTTTAGAGTTAATTAGTTGATTCAGATGATTAGGTTAATAGCTTGTTTAGAGACCCTTTTCATGATATGCTAATTTTTTGAGACAGGAATTTTGGGTTTTCATGAGCTGTATGCCAAAATCATCAGTATTAAAACAATAAAAGACCTGAAATATTTCAGTTGGTGTGCAATGAATCTAAAATATATGAAAGTTTAATTTTTATCATTACATAATGGAAAATAATGAACTTTATCACAATATGCTATTTTTTTGAGAAGGACCTGTACATCATATACATAATTCACCCGCTATATGCTAAATGAACATGGTTTTTCATATCAACAGAAAAATTTACCTGGGGGAACCTGGCTTCTGTGAATTTCGGATCGCGTACCCCGAAGTGATAAAATAAAACAAAATTCTGTATCAAAATTAGGCAAGACAAGTAGTTTGTTTAGGCATGGGTTGTATGGAATTACAAACCTGCGCACATATTTTCAAAAGCACATAACTATAGAATCAATTCTGAATGTGCCTGTGAACGCCATCAGCATTAATCACAGGTTCGCGTTTAAAGTCTGATCATTTCGACGGAGGTGAATCAATCAAAATTAACTTTAGCTGGAAATAACATTATTCAAGGACCGCTATAAAGCCAAAACAATCTCTGTTACCTTAAATTATATGTTTATCTCTGTAAAGCTGCTTTGAAACAATCCATTGTTAAAAGCGCTATATAAATTAAGATGACTTGACTTGACTTCTCTTGAGACTCCCATGCTTCAGAGCGGTCATAATTAAAGCTGCAGTCGGCAAGTCTGGCAGATTGAGTGGATTTAGGCAAAATTTTGAATGTTTACAACTCTCATGCCCCTCCCCCACTATCAACGGATACCCTCCCACCGAGTTCGTGCTCGTCGAGTTCGTGCGTGTGCACCAGGTTATCTGTGAACGCGCCCGTCTCATCAGCATCCATCAACACCATGGAGTATTTGGAGGTATGCTGCCCTGGCTAATCTACCGATAGATTGCAATTGCTAACGTCATTTATACTCTAAATGAGCTTACTTGATTTGTTAGTGTTTTGAAAGTGTGATACATCCGCCATCACTCTTTGTTACTGCGCGAACTTCAGGCGTGTGCATGTGATTGTAACGTGCGCGAGGGGTGGTGTGTGCCCGATCTGTGATTGACAGTCAGATCTCACACCCCCCTGCGCTGATTGGACCCGATGATCCGGGAGCTGTGGATTTTTGCAAAACAAATAACACGGGCCAGGTGGAGTTAGAAGCTCGGGTTTTTTTCTAAAACCACTTTATTTATGTTGTTCTGTCGGATTATAGTGTCGATTTCCCTGAATATGATCAAAAAAAAATTGCCGACGGCAGCTTTAATGATATTCTTAAGCCCGCCCCCTTTGTGACGTGATTGGTTACAAGGCAGTTTAAGACGTCAAGAAACACCTGCGATTTCGTTTTTGAGACTCTTTTTTTTCACTGCTGTTTTAAGGAGAAAATACTCAGCAACTGGTGAATTTGCACATGGTTTGTCTTAAAGCATAAAAACACCACAGATATATAAACAACATTTAAAGCATTATTTTCACCACAGGGGGTCTATCATTCTACTTCTATAAAATAAAATTTGAATCACAGTTTTGCAACCTTTTTCCTCACTTAACCTCAATTCAAATTTAAAAATGAAATTCTCAATTCAGTTCTGAATGGCGCACAACCTTGAGTGCAGTTTCACTTCACTCTTTTCAACATTTCAGGCGATGAAGGACGCCCATGTGGATGCGGTGATGATCCTCGGGGAAGCATTCGCATCAGACGAGCCGTTTGACTTCGGTTCCCAGAGCACAACGGAGCGGATCCACAGTCTGATTCCTGTGATGCTGAAGGAGCGTCTGACTCCTCCGCCGGAGGAAACCTACTCTCTGCACCGCAAGATGGGCGGCTCCTTCCTCATCTGCTCCCGCTTGAAGGCCAAGATCAGCTGCAAGAACATGTTCCACGAGGCCTACGCTAAATACTGGACAGATCGGCAAAAGGAAACTGCAAAATGAACCAGTGGGCATATCATTGTGTGTGTACCAGACAAAAATGGATTTGAAAAGTATTAAATGCATTATGCTAGAATGATGAATATGCACTTTATTTGGCTACAAGCTTAACTCTTATCTTTACAGCAGTAAATGGAGGGTTTTTGGCTGTGGATTATACTTGAATTATATAAGTAAAGATGTATATTATGAACCAGGAGAAAAATGTTAACTTGTTGTTTTGTGATGTGTGGTTTGCATTTCAATCTTGAGTAAAATATACATTTGAATTTGCAGAACCAAATATGACCTAAATTGTCAAGATGACATCAGACATAAAATCTGTCATTGTTTGAACTCATTTACTGATCGCTCATGTCGTTCTTAAGCTTCTAAAGTTCCTCTTTTCATTTCTTATACAGTCTACATATTCTAAACCCACATGGGTTTTTTTCTTCCATGGAAAACAAAAGGAGAAGAGGCTTATGCTGGTTTTGAAAAAGTAATTTTCATTCAAATTTTGACCACATTGTTTGATAAACAAAATGCTGACAAACATGTCACAGTTTGTGTCTAAAAAAAAAAAGCATGTTCTTAGATAAAGCATCTTTACATCTTGCCTGTGTTATTCTTTCTTTCAAAGTGCACAGTACAGTCCCTTAATGACAAAAACGTGTGCCTTAGAAAACTATTGTAAAAATGTATATTACACTCAACCTGTGTAATGAGAAGCTAAAATCCTATGTCAGTCCATCGGTTCCTGGTACTGTAAGCAATAAGACTCCGTTTGAACAGTGATATTGCTGAATCCATATTCTATCTGGAGTACTGTGGTTATGTCCATAAGCACAGTCTGTGGGCTGGTTTGCTCATCTGGAAATTAAATAATTTGTTTGGGTTAAACAACAGACATTTTTAAAGAAGCATTTAAACGTGTACATGTATTACCTATGACCGCGTGAACTGAGAGATGCGTTTCACTCGCAGTTAAAGACCACATGCGCAAACTGTGTGTAGATCTGACTCCGCCCACTGCCAGCAGAACGTCATTCACAGAGTCAAAGTCAATGCCATGCGGGACTCCTTCAGATAAAACGTTAAAGGGTTAGTTCACCCAAAACCAACAGCGTTACTCACTTCATGTCGTTCCCAACCCATAAGACTGTAGTTTATCATCAGTACACAAATGAAGATCATAAAAAGATTGTAAATCTAATCCATATGGATTTTAATTTAGTCCAAATTTTCTGAAGAGACTGGATTGCTTTATATGATGAACAGATTGAGTTTAGGCTTTTATTCACATATAAACTTTGACCGGTGAACATAAACCGCACTTGCTTGACGAGCGAGAACAAACCTCATTGGTTCTTGAGGAAGCTCAAACGTGCTGCGTAACACGAGAATGAACCTCATTGGTTCTCGCATGTCAAGCGAACATGGTTGAGCTTCCATTTACCACAACTGATGTGTGCACTGAAGAATGTTTATGTGTGAATAAAAGCCTAAATTCAATCTGTTCATTATATAAAGCGATCCTGTCTTTTCATAAAATTTGGACTAAACCGCCCGATTCATGTGGATTAGTTTTACTATCTCTTAATGAAATTTTTGAAGTGTCAAAGTGGTAGTTGTGTAGCTGTCAATGGTGTCCCTCCATTGTACCACTTTGACACTTCAAAAATTTCATTAAGAAATAGTAAAACTAATCCACGAATCGGGCGGTTTAGTCCAAAGCTCTCAGATTTCTTTAAACATCATTCAGTTTTGTTTCAAAGATGAACGAAAGTCTGAAAGGTTTGGAATGACATGAAGGTAAGTAAATTATGACCGAATTTTAATTTGTGGGTGAACTAACCATTTAACCATTAGCTTTTGTGTCGACATTTAGGGCATTTACAATCATATACGGATCAACTAATCACTTGCCTTCCATGAGTATTTTGAATATGTCTTTCAGGATGGTGACTGTTGTTCCGAGCACAAGTATTGAAAACAGAAAAGTACAAATTGGATCTGCTATTTTCCATTCAGGCTGTTAGGACATAGAGACAACAGTTATGGAAGCATTTTAAATTGCATATGCAGCTGTTAAACAAAGTATTTGCACATACTCTCTTAAAAATAAAGGTTCCTCAAGGGGATTTTCAAAACGAATTTTCTTAGTGTGAAGAAAATTTTAAAACTCTAACGAACTATTTTTCACTATAGAAGGGGTGTCCAAACTCAGTTCTGGAAGGCCACTGTCCAGCAGAGTTTAGCTCCAACTTCCATCAACACACCTGCCTGGAAGTTTAGTAGCCTATGCTTAGTAAGACTTTTATTAGCTGGTTCTGGTTTGTTTAATTGTGGTTGAAACTAAACTCTTGCAGGGCAGTGGCCTTCCAGGAGCATTTTGCACTATAGAGAAGCTTTTGGTTCAAATTTCATGGATGTTAAAGGTTCTTCATGGAACCATGCCAATAAAGAACCTTTTTTTTTGTCTCTGTTATTTTTCATGTAGGGGACATACAACATATATCAGACGCACAACAAGCAAGCTTCACAGAGAGAGGCCTCGAACTTGGTCCCCATGTTTTGGGTGCGGTAGTCTCGCGCAGCCAGACCTTCAGACTGACTGCAGAAGGTCTGGGCTCCATAGAGCTTTCATTTGCCAAGGACCGGCCAAGAGAACGTCTGACTGACAAAGCAACCAATCACAATTCGTTTTGCTTTAAGTGCCATGTTTAGGTGTGTGACAATTTAAGTCGATGTACCCACAATAACAGACTGGCATGCAATTCATTCAAGAATGTTGCTCAAGTTTACTGCAACAATGGTGCTGGGAACTTCACATAATTTTGAAAACCCAGCATTTAGTTGATCCTAATAAGCACTTATTGCCACAGTTATAAACACGATGGCTTTCTTCTTCCATAAGGGGGTTTGGCATCACGACGGCTTTGTTTCCAGGCGGACCGCTAAAGAACGCGACACACGTCTCCCAGAAATCCTGTAGAATTCAACCAATCAGATAACGACTTTGAAACTCCCAAAGTGTTTTCCAATTTTGTGTGGCATATGCATTAGACGTTCAGCCAACAGTCCGTGGCCGTGATGTCTGAGGCCGAGATGGGTGCGTCTCAATCAGCTCCCTAGTTCAGTAGTCGGGGCACTGATCAAGGAGTCGGCCAATATGGCTAATCTCAATTGCAAAATCCTTCCAGTGCACTGAAATGTTAGCTCCCTAAAACATCCCACAATGCACTGTGAAAACCAGGGAGCTTCGATGACGTCACAGAACTGTAAACATTGAAATATGTTGTTCAATTATTGAAATATTAACTTAGGGAGTGCCTCAAGTAAATATTTTCTCAAAGAGGTTAGGCTGGCACAAGAGTTTGAGAATCCCTGCATTAGATAATGAAATATCAAAGCAAGTGGCATTTATTTGACAGAACTATTTTAAGATAGAGGATCATGTTGATATAAATATGACGATCTATGCCTGTGTTCCTCAGTGTGAACTTAAAGAGAAATACTTCATACATCTACAAAAAATCATGAGTTAGCATAGTGTTCATAGTGTTAGCGTTAGTGAGGAGGAACTTTCCTGCAACATTTGAGACACACTGATCTGATGAATCACATTGACACATTTATAAGTCTGACTAAATGTCCATAAAAGTGAAAGTCTGAGAACTTTTGTATATGCCACTAATATGTTACTAACCCTAAAGTAGATGATAGTGGCAGCCAGCAGCACACCTAAACTTTGCAGTAAATCCCCCAGCACATGAATAAAAGCAGCCCTCACGCTGGTGTTCCTGTGCTCTTCTGTGAGGCCGTGAGAATGACCCGAGACACTGAGAGAGCTGTGAGAGTGACGGCCCGGAGACTGATGGAGAATGAAAGCCAAACTGATGGAAACAAACATTAAAACACTGTACAGGAAGATGCCATTTCCAAGCATGCATAATAATGAATCTAATGTGGGTCTACAAACTGGCAAGAAAAGTGAGTGGTGCAATGCAATACACAATTGCTGAAATCATTCATGCTTATCACACAAATGGCGTAGAATGAGCTTCATGCCAAAGTTTAACATTTAGGGTTAGTGTTTTTTCCCTTACCTAACTACGAGTATGAACAGTTGTAATAGTGATGCTTGATTTAACAAACACCACTAATGAAATCAAATAACATCACTCACAAGATGTTGAGTGCTACAGCACATCCAGCTGTGATTATCATGACATCACTGTGTATCTCATAATCATCACTGATGATCCTCTGAACAGCAACGAGAACGAGAACCACCGTCACAGTCCAGATGGACATAACAGACAGAAGAGCTCCTAAAACCTCTGGACAAAACAAATGACAGAAACACTGTGGAACAGTTGGCATATTTGTTAAATGTAATTCCTAAGAAAGGAATAAACATTAGTGACATTATATACAGTGCATCCGGAAAGTATTCACAACGCTTCACTTTTTCCACGTTTTGTTATGTTACAGACTCCTCAAAATTCTACAAACAATACCCCATAATGACAACATGAAAGAAGTTTGTTTGAAAAATTAGTGAATTTATTAAAAAATAAAAAACGAAAGAAATCACATGTACATAAGTATTCACAGCCTTTGCCATGACGCGTGATTTTTCCCCCCAAACCACTTCAGCGGAAATCCCGCCCTGCAACCGATTTCATTGGTTTAGGTTACAGTGACGGGTAGGTTTAGGGATCAGTGTTTGGTGTAGGCAATCAGTACAGTGATTGACATGACCAATGAAAACTTTAGAATCGGCTGCAGGGCGGGATTTCCACTGAAGTGGTTTGGGGGGGAAAATCACGCTGCCATGACACCCAAAATTGAGATCAGGTGCATCCGGTTTCCACTGATCATCCTTGAGATGTTTCTACAACTTGATTGGAGTCCACCTGTGGTAAATTCAGTTGATTGGACATGATTTGGAAAGGCACACACCAGTCTATATGTAACCCCTCCACCTGGGTCCTACTCGCCCTGCTCTGTGCGGGCCTCGAACCCGGGTCTCCGGCGTGAGAGTCAGGCGGTCTAACAAGGAGGCTAAAGACTGCAGCCTCTAGCATCTGTCGCTAGAGCGCCTATTGAGATCAGAGGAGTGAGGTTTACTCGCACAGCAACTACTAGCTGGCCTCCGTTACATATATAAGGTCCCACAGTTAAAGGGATAGTTCATCCAAACATGAAAATTCTGTCAGTAATTACTCACCCTCATGTTGTTCCAGCCCCGTAAGACTTTCGTTCATCTTCAGAACACAAATTAAGATATTTTTGATTAAATCTGCGAGCTGGATCACTCCTCCATAGGCTTCTAAGGGATTGAAACTTGCCAGCCCAGAAAAGTTAATAAAGACATTGTTAAAATAGTCCAAGTGACTACAGTGGCTCAATCTTAAGTTTATCAAGCGACGAGAATACTTTTTGTGCGCAAAAAACAAACAGTCCATTCCAAAAAGTAAAGGTAATGTAAAGAGGAAAACAGTACCATGGTGGGATGAAGAATGTAAAAAAGCAGTCAGAAATAGGAACAAAGCATTTAAAATAATGAAAAGAACTCATAACTGCATGCACATGATTCAATATAAGTATGCTCAGGCAATAGTAAGGAAAACAGTAAGACAGGCAAAAAGAACATATTGGAGGAATTACTGTAGCTCAATTGGGAATACAACTCAGATCGGAGAGGTGTGGACAATGATTAAAAAGATGAGTGGGGAAAGGAGAGAATGGAGTTACCCTAGTAGTGGAAATGAAATTGCAGTTACGAATAAGGAAAAGGCTGAAATGTTAGTCACTGTGCACAGCTCTAATAATTTATCTGAAGAAGGGAAGAGAGGCAGAGAGAACTAAATCTGAAAATGTAGAGGCACTTAAGATGATGGGAAATGTTGAGGATGAACAAAATATTTAACACGGGAGAGTTTAGCAATGGCCAAAACTGGGAAGGCTGCATCAGGAAAAGATTCAATTTGTTATAGCATGTTGAAACAGTTAAGTGAGGAGGGGAAGAAGAAGTTGTTGATGCTGTACAATAAAGTGTGGGAGGAAGGGAAACTACCAAAGAGCTGGAAGGAAGCAATTATTTTCCCGATAAGAAAACCTGGGAAAGATTCTGGTAAACCAACAAGTTATAGACCCATTGCCCTGACATCTCATGTCTGTAAATTAAAGGAAAGAATGATAAATGAGAGGCTAATGTATATTATGGAAAAAAAAGAGGTATGGTGGTTGAATGTCAAAGTGGGTTTAGAAGAGGTAGGAATACTATGGATGCAGTATTGTGTTTGGAAGATAACATAAGAAAAGCACAAACAAACAAAGAGACAGCAGTGGCAGTATTTTTCTATGTAGAAAAAGCATATGATATGGAGAGTATTTAGGAGAGTATGGAGAGGATTAATGATTCAATTGCATAATATGGGAATTAGAGGACATTTTTTTAACTGGATAAAGGATTTCCTGGAAGGAAGAACAATTCAGGTTAAAATAGGGGCAGACCTGTCAAGTGAACATTTTGTAGAGAACGGGGAAGTGTCATAAAGTCCCACATTATTTTCAGTAATGATTAATGACATATGTAAATATACCAGTAGGTATGGGAAGATCACTGTTTGCGGATGATGGGGCAATATGGAAAAAAGGAAGAAATGTAGAACATTTAAAAAAAGGAAAAGAAGGGATACAGCAGGTTGAGAAGTGGGGAATAAAGTGGGGTGTTAAATTTTCTATAGAGGAAACTAAAGTTATGTTTTTTTACAGGGAAGAAAATCAAGGAAAATATTCATATAAAACTATATGGAAGTAATTTGGAGAGAGTTAAAACATTCCACTTTTTAGGAGTACACTAACACAAGGTTAACATGGGTAGAACATGTCAGGAATGTGGAAGACAAGTGTAAAAAAGTAAATACAATGAGATGTTTAACAGGACTAGAACGGGGAGTAGATTATAAGACACTGAAGTGTAAATTTAATAAGATAAAGGATGGATTATGGAAGTGTGGCGTATGGATCAGCAACCAAATCTGTACTTGTGAGGCTTGATGTAATGCAGGCTAAAGCACTGAGATTATGTTTAAGAGAAGTAAAACATCGCCAGTGTGTGCTCTCCAAGTTGAAGCGGGAGAAATGCCACTGAACATTCGACGTAAACAATTGCTTGTAAACTATTGGATAAATCTAAAAGGACATGGCGATAGTCATCCAACCAAAAGAATACTGCAAGCTAACTGGGAAAGGGAGAGAGCACAAAAGTTGAGTTTTGGGTGGATAGGAGAAGAGGCAGCTAGACAATTGGGATTGTATGAAAAGGAGCTCTGCCCAACTGTAATATGGCCTGATACCCAGGTATGGAAGCTAGAAACCATGGAAGTTGATTTTAAGTTACTTCGAGTCAAAAAAGTAAGCAATAGTACAGATCTGTCAGCTGAATTTTATAGATTATGTTCAGATTTATACAGATGGATCAAAGGATCCAGAAACAGGAAAGACTGGATCTGCAGTTTTCATTTTTTATCAAAGAGGTGAGGTATAAGCAGACGAACCACAAATGATCGGAGTGTGTATGCAGTTGAATTATACGCTATTATGATGGCACTAGAATGGACTGAGAAAAACAAAATAAATAAACCTTTAATCGGAAGTGATTTAGTGTCAGCTTTATACAGTCTCATGACAGGTATGTCTAATAGTCATCAGGATTTACTGAATACAATATTAACAATATACACAAGAATAAGGAAAAATGCTATGAGATTCAACTGATTTGGATTCCTGCTCAAATCGACATTGTGGGTAATGAGAGCCAAACAAGCTGTTAAAAAAGAGAATATTGAATATTAAAGTTGTCAAAATCTGAAGAAAGAGTATAATATGGAAAGAAGCCATTAGAGAATGGTAACATCAGTGGGACAGGGAAACTAAAGGGAGACATTTGTATGCTATTCAAAATAAAGTTGGGCTGTGAAGAATAGGGGAGGGAATAGAAAAGAAGAAGTAGTTATGACCAGATTAAGGATAGGTCACAGTAATTTGAATGGCACACTACACATTATAAGGAAGCACCCAACTGTTTTTTGTAGCTATTGTCAGGTTGCAGAAACTATAGAGCATGTGCTGTTGAATTGCAGACACTATGATATTAGCCAGCAGCCATATCACCCTGTAGCCCAAAACTGGTTGCCCACTGAAGCTAAGCAGGGCTGAGCCTGGTTAGTAACTGGATGGGAGACCTTCTGGGAAAACCAGGTTGCTTCTGGAAGAGGTGTTAGTGAGGCCAGTAGGGGGTGCTCACCCTGTGGTCTGTGTGGGTCCTAACGCCCCAGTATAATGATGGGGACACTATACTGTCAAAAGAGCACCGTCCTTCGGATGAGACGTTAAACCGAGGTCCTGACTCTCTGTGGTCACAAAAAATCCCAGGATGTCTTTTGAAAGAGTAGGGCTGTAACCCCGGCATCCTGGCCAAATTTGCCCAGTGGCCTCTATCCATCATGACCTCCTAATCATCCCCATATATATATATATATATATACACTCACCGGCCACTTTATTAGGTACACCTGTCCAACTGCTCGTTAACACTTAATTTCTAAGCAGCCAATCACATGGCGGCAACTCAGTGCATTTAGGCATGTAGACATGGTCAAGACAATCTCCTGCAGTTCAAACCGAGCATCAGTATGGGGAAGAAAGTTGATTTGAGTGACTTTGAACGTGGCATGATTGTTGGTGCCAGAAGGGCTGGTCTGAGTATTTCAGAAACTGCTAATCTACTGGGATTTTCACGCACAACCATCTCTAGGGTTTACAGAGAATGGTCCGAAAAAGAAAAAACATCCAGTGAGCGGCAGTTCTGTGGGCGGAAATGCCTTGTTGATGCCAGAGGTCAGAGGAGAATGGCCAGACTGGTTCGAGCTGATAGAAGGGCAACAGTGACTGAAATAACCACTCGTTACAACCGAGGTATGCAGCAAAGCATTTGTGAAGCCACAACACGCACAACCTTGAGGCGGATGGGCTACAACAGCAGAAGACTCCACCGGGTACCACTCATCTCCACTACAAATAGGAAAAAGAGGCTACAATTTGCAAGAGCTCACCAAAATTGAACAGTTGAAGACTGGAAAAATGTTGCCTGGTCTGATGAGTCTCGATTTCTGTTGAGACATTCAGATGTTAGAGTCAGAATTTGGCGTAAACAGAATGAGAACATGGAACCATCATACCTTGTTACCACTGTGCAGGCTGGTGGTGGTGGTGTAATGGTGTGGGGGATGTTTTCCTGGCACACTTTAGGCCCCTTAGTGCCAATTGG